TGCACAGCAGTCTAAGTTAAGGAGAACTGAGCTCTAGACATGGTCCTGTGAGTGTCCTAGTGAGTGGTCTTTGACAAGTTTGCTAGCTTCCTGGGACCACAGTTTTCTGAAGTAGAAAAATGAGTTGATCTCAGAGATCTGCCCTTCTTTGCCATTCTAGAATTGAGACAAATACTTAGAGGCCATCTAGCTGCCCCCAAGAGCTCTCCAGACCTTGTGTCACCTTCCACTGACTGTGGCATGTGACTGCCCAGTACCATGCTGACAGATGGATTCCTGTGCTCCTCAGGGCCCCGGAATTGTGAGGTTGGAGCAGCTGCCAGGCATGACTCCTGATTTTCTGACTCGGTACCCACAGCTGGTGCCAGATGGTGGCTGCTCACTGGTCCCCAGCAGTGCTGGGTCGGCCTGGTATGTGAAGGGGGACTGACGGTCACCCTATGCAGCACAGCTTGCCCAGAGGACACCGGCACAGGGGACACCACTGGCCGAGTTCTCTCTTGTGAGCTCACCAGCAGGGCTCCATGTTAGTCGGTGCCAGCTTGAGGCCTGCCCTCTCCTTGCTGGTGTGGCCTGAGCTTGTAAAAATGCCAGGAGGGTCACAAATACTGTCTCTAGGGCTTCTGTGAGGACACAAATTTAATGAGCACTGAGGCGGGACCTCAGTTCCAATTGGGTTGCCCTTGACCACCCTCCCTGGTGCCCAGGGGACACGCCTTCCTTTCCTCCAAGGAGCCCGCTCGCCTCTCCTGTGGGCAGCCCTCTCCTACCTACACAGCACTTTCCTGGGCTTTGATCCTCCCAAGCATGCTTCGAGGAAGGCAGCGAAGCTATCTCCTTCCCATTTTATAGAGGAGGAAGTCAACAGTCAGAGATTAAATTGCTTGATCAAGGCCACCAAATGGTTGTCCTTCCTCAAGGGAGGGATGGAGGGTGGAAAGTTGTGCTCTGGACATAGTCTAAGTGGACACATGTCAGGAAAATCTACGAATGACAGAGTGCATGCTGCTGCTTTGATTTGGCTTGTGAAATTACCACACCCAGGTCTGCTGGGCTAACACACTTTGGGCTTCTTTGTAGAGTTGGATGCATGAGCTCCACCTGAGGGGCTTTTCAAACTGCTGATGCCTAGCATGCCCAGGCCAATGGAATCCAAGACCTGGGTGGTGGGGGACTTGGGGTTGGGGCAGGAGGGAGGGGTGGAGAACAGCGTGACTTTAGGAGATGTGTGGCTGAGGCAGAAGCCCATGTGATTGTACCTGGCCAGGGCCCTGTGTCAGTTTCAGACCCCAGAGGACGAAGCTCTGTCCAACTTGGACGAAGCTCTCTCCAACTTGGACGACTGCTTGAGAGGGCTTGGCCAGACCTGTTCCTCCAAGAGAACAGTGGTTTTTCTCTTTCATTCCCATCAGGGTGGAAAAATACATGTTTTTTTCCCTTACTGACCTTACTGAAGTGGGAATTTTTCAGGGAAGTCAAAGCCATTCAGAGATCGATGAGCTTGACAAGTTCCTCTGGGGTCCTGTGCTTTGGGTTCAGGGATGCCACGAGTGCTTTGATACTTTCTTCTGTAATGCCCCGGGGGACTGTGGGAGGAGGCAAGAATTCTCTTCCCATGTGCCTGGGAGGAGGCTGAAAATGGGGAAGGGACCCAAGTCCCTCCGAAAGTCAGTGGAGACAGGACCCCAAGGCCCTACATTTCCTTCTGGGTGTTCAGGTCTGGACACTCAATGCTGGGATTCCAGGCACTCTGTGACACTCCAGAGCAGTTATCGTGGATGGCTCACACAATCAAGTTGAAAATGTGGACTCCTGAGCATTTCGTTATATGGGAAAAATCCCAGAGTACTAAGGCTGAAAGGATCCTAAAGCTTATCCGTGTCAACCCTCCTTCTGGTGCTGAAGCTGTAACAATTTTAACTGCCAATTACTATATCCTTAGGTGTGAACCACCATGCTGTGTTTGCATGCATTTAACCACGTTTAATAACAGTTACAGGAGGCAGATATTACCAGCCTCACCTTACAGTGAGGAATCTGAGGCTTGGAGAGGTTTAGCAAATCAGAGCTCTTAACCTCCGCCCGTGTGGATGCTACATGTCCGCCATGACTTCAGCCTCTCCTCGGACCATGCTGGGGATTGAACCCAGGGCTTTGCACATGTCAGGCAAATGTTGTATTGCTGAGCTACACCCCAGTCCTCGGGCAGCTCATTCTTCTTTGCTAGCTGCTGCTCTTCCACCAAGGGCCAACTTGTCTCTACTGGTCTAGACCTGATTTGGGGGCTGCATGGACGTGCCACCCTCCTTGACATCCAGCCTTGCCCATGGTGAAGTTCTCATCTCCACTTCTCTTTTCTGGTCTTCTCTGTTGTATTTAATTGTAATACCTATTAATGCCTCACTGTGCTCTCTCTGTTCTGTGTTCTTCCTCTCCTTTGGACTCAGAGTTTTCACTGTTTTGGTTCCGCCACCTCACCCTGCAAGGGCTACTGCTAATTGCCAACGATGCCCTCCTCCCATTTCACCTGAACAATCTCTTTATATATAGGCTGGTGGACAAACTATGGGCCACGAGCCAGATCCAGGCTGCTGCCTGATTTTGTATGACCTGTGAGCTAAAAATTATTTTTACATTTTTTGGCATGTCCACGAACGGTCATTTCAGCACCATTTGTTGAAAAGACTATCTTTTCTCCACTGTTTGCCATTGCTTTTTTGTCAAAGATTGGTTAATGGGTCTATCTGGGTCTCTGTTCTGTCCAATTGATCTATTTGTCTGTTCTTTCTCCAAGACCATCCCATCTTGATCACTGTAGCTTGATGGTAAGTCTGGTGGTGTCACCACGGACTTTGTTCACTTTCCAGGCTGTGTTAGGTATTCTGGGACTCTTTTGCCTCTCTGTAGAAACTTTACAGTCAGTTTGTTGAATCTACAAAAGTTTCTGTGTTTTAAGTGATTATAAAATGAGAAAAGTATTTCATGACACCTGAAATTGTATGGCATTCAAACTATAGTCGCCACGAATAATCTTGTTTACATGTTACTTAGGGCTGTTTCACAATGCAGCAGTGGAGCTGAGCTGTGACAGAGACCAGAAGGCTTGTAAAACTTAAAATACTGGCCATCTGGCCTTTACAGCAAAATTCACTGGCTCTGGTCTAGATCTTGAGCATGAGGTTCATGCTTGGCTTGTTGAGTCCAAGCATAACCTAGAGCCAGACTGACCATTTCCTAGTCTTCTGTCACCATTTGCTAGCTATGGCATCTTTACAGGACCACTTGACCTTCCTGGGCTTTACGCTCCTGTCTGTAAAGTGGGGAGGGTGGTATTTATCTCATAAAAGTGTGAGGATTCAATGGATTATTTCGTGTAAGTACTTGATATATAGCTGCCATATGTAAGTGGTGGCTACCATTTTACTGAAATAGTCTCAAATCTCTGTCATGTTGACTCATTTATGCCACTACTTCCAAGTCATGATCATCCTAAAATAACCTTAAAGTCTTCCCTTCAAAGACCCATCATGCCTCCCAGTTGCTCGTGGACTAGCCTGATATTTCTGACTCCACAGCCTGGCTCTTAGCTGTGTGCAGCCTACTCTAACCTGCCCTCCAGTTACAAACCCTGTGTTCCAGCCTTTTCCAGCCTTCCATGCTTACTCCTGCTTCCGTGCCTTCCCATCGGGGGCTCCTTCTGCCTGGAAAACTTTCTTCTGGGAATCCAAAAAGGGCCACTGGGTTCTGGGGCCAGGTTACAGCCATCATTTCATGCATAAACTTCAGTGTGGGATCTCACAAGGGGCAGGAAATGGAAATATACTGCCTCTCCTCTTGTAACTCTAGATGAGTTATATTCAGGGTAACAAAGTAAAGCTGCAGAAGAAGGCTGGCATGGAAAAGAAATCCAGCCCAGACCCCCAACTCAGGCTTCCCTGTGGCATTGCCTAATGGTGTGTGGGGACTATAACCAAAAAGGTACACTCTGGACCGAGGACCAGGTGTGGAGAAGTTATAGGAAGGGATCTGAATTGCTGATCAAATACCAGAATCATAATGTATCAAGTAACTATTGAAACAAGTATCAGGCTTGTGTGACACATGAAAAATGCTCACAATAACATTAAAAGGAATCTTGCCAGATACAGAATTGCATGCACACTGATTACCAAGGGGTGAAAATAATGTCCCATTATGATCACGAGAATGAAAACAAATGATGTTTGACTGGGTGAGAATAGCAGCATTGTGGGTGACATTTTGCTTCTTTTAGAGTTCTGCTAATTTTACTATTTGCACCAACTAAATATTTCATGGGAAAACCCCACTTATAATGAGTCTAGTTTGTCATATGTAAATTGTACTTTAAAAAAGTAAACTTAAATGTTTGCTTTTGGTAAAGTAAAAAGTTGTAAAAGGCTAGGCAAAAATAAGCTGAGTCAAGGATCATGTCTTTGTGGTCTTCCAAGACCCCTCGACACAGCTCCTGTCTAGGTACTGAGTACAGCTGTAGCTGCTTGGAACCCTATGATTAGCACTTCTCCTATGATTAGCACTTCTCCTATGATTAGCACTTCTCCTAAAATCACATCACCCTTTAGACAGCTCTGCAATGTGCTTTGCCTTCCCTGCTTTGTGATGGATTCTCAAGCAGCCATTTGTCCAACTTTACCTTCCTGGAGGTGGGGGGTGGGGGGTGTGTGTCCTTGCTAAGGAACCCACAAAGCCATCTGTAACAAACACCTGTGCACGACACATGTTATTGCTGACCCTACTCAGCCCACTCTTTTGCATTTCAACCTAGGGATTCTTTTCCTAAGAGTTTGTATTTGTGGAAGCATGGTATCCCAAAGTCAGAGCTGGAGGAGTAGAACCTGAGCTCTGCTTAACACAAAGTCAGCTCTGAGCTGGGCACAGAGATAGGTCTGGGAGGAAGGGCGTGAAGACCACACAGCAATTAATTCCAGCTAAAACATCTGGACTATCTTTGCCTTTTTTAGGGATCACCCAAATCTATGTGTCTTCTGGAGAGAACACACTGGAAGGCCAGCGATGGCCAGAGGTGAGAGCTTTTCCTGGCGGGAAGTAAAGGGTGGTAAGGTTTCCTTCGATGGGGGAAATTTGAGTCTTGCCACAGGTGCCCCTCTGGCGGCCTTGAGGGAATGGGGGAGATGAGCCACTTCTTTGAGACAGTGGGGCTGCCTGGCAGAGCATGACCGTCTCTCCTGGAATTTGAGACTCCTTGTCCTGCACTGAGCATGCAGTTCCCAGAAGTGTCCAGAAAGCATTATAAATGGGCTCATTATCTCTGTGAATCTTGAAGCAGATGTGGTCCTTTATTTGAAGGCATCTGGGTGAGGCCTTCCCAGCACCTCTGAGATAAGAGATTAGAGTAAATGCCGTATCTCTTACTATAATCAATAATTAAAGTGAAATTAGTGTCTGTTTTTTGTGGTCATGAGGTGTGGCCATGCGCTTCATGTAATGCATGTGTTCCCCTGGTAGAGTATTTCCCCTTCCACTCTTGAATTTGGGGGAGGAGAGACAACTTTCCTTCCCAAAGCCTTCCATGTTATTTTTAGAAGTAGAAGCTGCTTGGGATTCTTATCAGAAGCCCATTTAAGCTCAAAACATCTCGATCTCATGGGAACAGCAGTCTCCTCATTGCAAGTTTACCTGGTTTTCGCCAGCAAATAAACATGCCGGCTATACTTGCTTTTGTGTAAATAATCAAAATAAAAGAGGGAAAGTAGACAATACACATAGATGTAGCACAGGATTGATTTTTTTTTTTTTTAGTCTAGATTTACTGGTTCTCTTAGTTATTTTCTAATTGTGGTAAAATACATGCAATATGAAAATTTTTAACTATTTGAGTGTAGAATTTAATGGCATTAAGTAGATTCACATTGTTGTGGAACTGTCTTCGCTGTCCGTCTCCAGAACTTTTTCACCATTCCAGGAATTAATTTTTATTCTCCATCATCTGCCCTCCATGTCCACCCCACTTTTCTCTGAGACACTCTTATGTGCCACCTGCTAAAGTCATTGTCAATATCCCCACGTCCTCTTTTACCAGGGAAACTGGAGGTTAGGAGAAGCAACCATGGAAAATTATTGCTTCTGGATTTTGAGCCTAGACAGAACAAGGACATGGCCATTGCTACACCACTTGTTCAGAGCCTGCAATGTGTCTTTCCACACAAGGCAGCTGATGTTTTGTTTCAGTTGCAGACTGTGAAGAATTTTCCATTCCTGTGCAACCCAAAGAAGTTAGGAGTGAACGTGCCTTCTGAATCAGGTATGTGCCGCTGGCCATAAGCAACAAAGGCTCCACCTCTTCTCTTGGGAGTGTGGGGGGCAGCAGAGGCTCCAACCCTACTTTTCTTAGACCCTTTAGCTGTTCGATTCTCCCTCTTCTTTTTTTTTTTTTTTTTTTTTTGTTTTTTTTTTTTTGGTACCAGGGATCGAACTTGGGTCCTTGTGCTTGCGCAGCAGGCGGCGAAACCACTGAGCTAAATCCCCGACCGATTCTCCCTCTTCTTGATCCTCAGCCCCTTCTCCCACCTCTATGTCTCCCCTCAGTCATTTCTATGGTGGGATAGAGCTCACTGCCTCACTCAGGAATAAAACCAACATGGCCCTGCAGTGGTTTTCTTGGGTGGGGCAGCCTCTAGGACCTGCCTCCCTGTGGGTTGAATGTGTCGTGGGAGCTGAGAGTCCAAGCTCAGTTGCTCACATGGCTTCCCTTTTTCTGTAATAGAGCCACAGTGGGCTTTCAAGCCATTTGCCCCTATTAGGGGCTCGGCTTGCCTGGTCCCTGGATGCCATTAGTGCTGGTTGTCTTTCCTGGCTTTAATCCATGTTAAGGGACTGACTGTGTTTAATGGTTTTCTTCATGCTTGCATTGTACTGACTTGATCTACTCTTCTGTTACGTAAAGAAAGACTTTAGGTAGAGGAATAAGCTGATGTACTTTTTAGGAAATGGTATTCTAGCAAGTTTACATTTGAATGCCCCCATGACATGACTGAGGAGTTTGGTCGTTCCTTTTTAGGGAGACTTAATTTCTAAAAATTCTGGTCACTCAAGGAGATTTCCATGAGTATCATTTGCTTACATCTTACCTGGTATGTTTTTGTGTGTTTACAGGTTTTAAGTGTTGTTCCCTAGCAAGCTTCAAGCTAAACTTAGGGTACCCAAGTGGCTTTGATTTTAATTTGTTACCTTCTTACTTATTAATGATGACCCAGAAAGGCAGAGTCATGGAGTAGGGGAAATGAGAGGCAGACAGAGGGCCAAGTGAGTAGGGAAAATGGTGGCCACCATGCATGACCTTCCATGGGACATCTATTTGGAGACCTCTGGTCCAGGTAACTGTGCAGCCGCAGAGGGGAGGAAGCCCCTTTCCAGTACAGTTCCCAGGAGCCCCAGTGACTACAGGATCAGCTTCCCACTCCCACGCCAACAGAGTTGACATGGCAGCTGTGCAAGTTCTATAGGATGTGGGTCTGCTCCATGCACCCACCCTCTGCCTACATCACGGGGTGCAGAGCTGACCTTACTGCATGGGTTCTTGTGTTCACAGTGCACTCTCTGACACCTGCTGACATCAAACTCATAGCAGCCATTGGCAACATGGAAACTGTGAGTACATAAAGTAGCTTGGGGAAGGACCCGAGTTTGGTATTGGTAAAGCTGTATAGGCTCCTTCTAATCAGGCAGAACATTCCATTTCGGGAGAGAGCATTATACGGATTGAAGAAATTCTACTATCCAGGAGGTTTTGAATTCTTATTTTAAAATCAAATAAATGCCTACTCTTGCATCAGGGTGGGGAGCCTTTGGAATTTGTCATTGATAAATCAAGTATTGCACAGAAATTTTAAAGCGATGTTTTAAATGTTCTATTTATAAAAGAAATTCTTTACCTGCTTTGTATGCTTAAAAAATTCATAAATCTTAACATTACATTTTTGTTTATAATTGTGCTAAATATGCATACATAAAATTTAGCATTTTAACCACTTTTAAATGTGCAGTTCAGTAGTATAAAATATATTCTCACTGTTGTACAAACCACCTCTGGATCTTTCAATCCTGAAATTCTCGTACTCTGGTTTCTCTTCAGGTCATATAAATCTTTTGCCTTTTACTGAAACTCTTCACCTCTTCAATAACAACTCTTTCTCCCTTTCCCAGTCCCCAGTGACCACTATTCCACTTTCATTTCTATAGTTTGACTATGTAAAAGTTTTACTTTGTAAAGTGAAATGGAACAGTATTTGTCTTCTTGTGACTGGCTTACTTCACTCAGCGTAATATCCATAGGTGACAGGTTCTTCCTTTTTAAGGCAGAATAATACTTCATTGTGTGGAAATATCACATTTTATTTATCCATTCAACCACTGATGGGCATTGAGGTTGCTTCCGTCTTCTGGCTATTGTGACTAATGCTGCTATGAACATGTGTGCACAAATATCTCTTCAAGGCCCTGCTTTCAATTTTTTGGTCATACACCCAGAAGTGGAATTGGTGGATCACATGGTAATTCCATGAGAAATTACTTTTCCGAGTGGCTACACCATTTTACATTCAAACCAAAAATGTTCAGGGTTATAATAATTTTTCCATATTCTCCACAACTCTTATTTTCTGGCTTTTGTTTGTTTTTAAATAGTAGCCATCCTACTAGTTACAAGGTTATGATGATGATGATGATGATGATGATGATGATGATGATGATGATGTGGTGTCCACATCCCATCTGCCCTGGTCTTGCAAAGCTCAGCAGCCCTGCTGGTCCTGAAGTTCCGGTGACCCCAGCTGGACAGAACACTTCCTCACAGGCCTCAGCTCTGCCCCAGAGGTGTCCTGTGCCTCCCACACTTGACAATCTCCTCTCTCCCCAGTGCCCACTCCCTTGTTTCCTTCCTGGAATCTGTCCCCTGTTCAGCCTGCACTCCCTTTCCCCTGGCCTGGATGCAACCCAGACTCCATCGTAGTGTCAGCTGACCCAGTGCCTCAGACGCCCTCGGCCTGTCTCACCTTCCCTTCTCAAATCACAACCTCTCTGGAACTGCCTGGGACACTCAGTCCTGCTACGGTCAGCTCCACCATAGTTACAAATACCACCTCTGTTTGTGCACTGGTTGAAGCTGCCCAGGCCCAGGACGCCCTCTACTCATTGAGCAACTATGACCAGTGTGAAGGGAGGATATGGGTGTAGTGGGAAGAAGGATGAGGTACCGGAGTGTGAAGGGGGTCTTCATGTTAGCAGATGGCCTTGGCCGGGTGGCCTGTGGCAGGCAGAGCTTCCCCATCCATCCTTCCTCTATTCTTTCTCTACCTGAGTGGCCAGCTGTGTGTTGATGGGACAGGACGAGACTCCCCTTGGGACAACAGAAGGAGAGCTGGAGGTCAATGAGGAAAGGATTCATGTGTCCTGGATAGCAGGCTGGCTTTGCCGAGCCTGTGCCTCTCTGCATATGACACTAACACACCAGAGCCTGGGGGTGCGACGTGCTTGCTGAGGACCTGGATTCTTCCACCTTGGGCAGGCCTTGGGCAGGGGAATATCCACCCAGGCACATTTCTAAAGTTAAACCCCTCTGGGCCTTCCACCCTTCCATCCCAGCTCCTAGAGCATGTTCCTGTTCATGAATGATTCAGGCCTGACAGCTCAGGGCTGTCACTCACTCCGCTCATACCTGGGGGAGCCTGGGGCCTTCAGCAGCAGAATGCACCCCAGTCCAGGACGCCTCCAGCCCAGCATCATTATCAGTCCACGGCCAGGGAACTTGACCTTCAGGATCACACCTGACGGCACAGTTCCTGTGAGCCTTCTTCCTTACCGTCCTGAGAGATGGGAGTGAACCGTTCTATGTTTAAAATAACCATCGGGGAAAAAAATGGAATACAGTGAATTTAAAAAGAAAAAGTCTAACATGACATGTTTGCCTTGAATTCCTGGATATAGCTAAGGCACAGCTACTCATCTGGGAAGGTAACCACCACTGTTTTAATTGCTATAGGTCCCCCTTTTTCTTATTACAGAACTTTAAAATTTAGATATGCAAGTATTCATAACATTTCCAAATAACAGAAGACCCAGTCACATTTTAGCTCTCTTCCTTGCCTCCACTCCCGTATGCAGCGATGCATAGGGACGTAGGGGACACAGGGAACCTAAATTGGATCACAGATAATAGCCTATCTGTGAATTGTTTGTTTTCCTTGACTCTCATAGATATTTCCACGCCAGGAGATGAGAGGTTACAATCCACTATCCCAAATTCCTTGGGGAAGAGCCCGTGTGGTACTTAGCTCTGTGTCCCTGGTGTCACGGTGGTTGCCACAAAGCAGGCATTCAGTGAGTGACGACGGAGAGACGGTGGCAGGCAGGGGCAAAGTGGAGAAGTAGGTGTTGGCAGGTTTGTCCCGCTGTCCCTTTCCCGTACTTCTCACTGACCCTTCACCCCATTCCTGTTCCTGTCCCTCTTGTGCTCTGACCCATCCTCCTCCTCAGCTCTCTTTATTATTACTTCCTCTCTGGGGACAAGACCTGCCGTTCATCAACTGATTATCAGAAGAAGCAAATTGTTGGTCTTCACACAGCGTTTTTTTTTTTTTTTTTTGATAGTACAGGGACTGAACTTGGGGCCTTTGGACAGAGCTAGATCCTCAGTGCATTTTACTCTTGGAGACAGGTCTTGTCAAGTCACTAAATTGCCCAGGCTGGGCTGGAACTTGTGATCCTCCTCCTTCAGCCTCCCTCAGTGCTTGGGGTTACCGGGGTGAACCACCACTTCCGGCTCACATTGTGTCTAACTGAATCAGCTGCCAACATTGAAATCAGAAGATTTTAAATAAATGTCTGGGTTTCCAGCTTCTCTTGAAAAATGAGATCTGGCAGCTGTGGGTCCATGTTCCTCTGGCTGCCATGGGCCTAGGCTGGAGCACAGTGCCCCTCTAGTGGGGCACAGGCTGAGTGTGTTGCTATGGCCTGTAAGATCTTCTCCCCTTTCTAGCTGACCTGTCCATGTTTATAATACTCAGCTTTCATCTTCATTTTTTGTTTAACTTGTCATCCTTCCCTGGGACAGTGACCTTTCTAAGTTCCTTTTTCCGAGCGTCAAAGAACCTTGTGCTCAGGTAGAGGAATTTCACGGTCAGCCTGCCCTCTAAAGAGAGCTCTGGAGCTGTGACCAGTCCATGGCCTGGCCCTCAGTTGAGAGGAATGTAGGAGAGCTGCTGGGCTCCTTAAAGTTCTGCAGCAGCCTGGGTGTAGACAGCAAAGGTCTTGCCGTCCAACCTGTTAGCACCACACCTGCCATCCAGTCCTCTAGGAATTTTGAGAGACCATGTGTCGGAAACTGTGAAGATAATAGTGCTAACAATAGCTAATAGTCACTGAGCCCTTTCTGTCTCAGACATATTTCTAAGCATCCCTCAGGGCTTTGGAAGGATGGGACCCCAGCAGGGGGTGGAGTTACCAAGGTGTCACCTGCAGTGTTCGAGTCGGAGTGTCCTGTGTTATCCAAGGGTGGAAACAGAAACTTATTTTGTTCATTCAGAAAATACTTATTCAGCAGCTGTTCATTGTGTGTTGACATGTCAGACACTGTTCTAGATCCAAGAAATATAGTCAAGTTGCAAACGTGAAAGTCCTGCCCTTGAGGCATTTATGTTCTAGTTGGGGGAGATGGCAATAAAGTCAATTTCAGATTATAGGGGGCGGGTCACAGTCTTTGATTCCAGGCAGAATATTAATATGACTTTGTGATGCATCCAGATCAAAGCTCTGAGGAAAATACTCACCTCAGAGGCCTGGCAGAGATGGTACGGGGGGTGGCATTTTCCTTCCCTCTGCTGCCTCCCTGGATGACTCGCCAACACCAAGTGTCTTTTCCAGCTTCCAGACTCTGGGACAGTCCACCTGGAGGAGAGCGAAAGGTACCTGTCCTGGGACAGAGGGATCAGGAAAGCGCCTGAGACACTTCTGATTAAATATCTTTCTTCAATTGGTGGAGGAAATCAGGGGCAGGGGACAGGGCAGGGACCAGAAACAGCCTCTGACCTCCCAGCCCGGACCCTCCGGGCCTGTGAATCCCAGTGGCTCCACTGGGTGAATTGGCGAGAAGAGGAAGAAAGCTGAAGGGTGGAATCCTGCTTCTTGTCACCAGGCCCCTTGCCCTGTCTCTGGGGAACCGTGCAGGGTTTGAACTGGGTCCCTGTACACTGGGATCGTCATCCGCTTTGAGCTCTGGGCCAGGTTAGGGAGGAGGGAGAAGTGAGGGTCTCACCAGGGAAGGCTGCTGGCCGGAGACAAGTGCAGTCAGACACTCACATGCTCGCCTCTACCTGCAGGATTGAGAAGCCACTGTCAGCCTGCATGGGCATGATGACTGGTGAGTCCTGGCTTACATGTCCCCCTCCCTCCCAACATAGCAGCAGTTTTGCTAATGAAGAAGATGTACTATACCGGCCACTTTGTCACCAGGGCCTGGGAAAAGGGGAAGGGATTTTGAGAGGGCAGATAAGGGACCCAGGCCATGGAAAGAAAGTCACACACCCTGAATGGAAGGCACAAGAAATGTGTCCAAAGGTCTTTGGACAAAGAGAAGCCTGGAAGCATTGGGTTGAGATGAAAGTATAGGGAAGAGGGGCTGGGGACAGGCTGGGCTAGGGTGGCTGGACCAGAGCCCTGCAGTTCCCGCTGCCCCAGGAGCCCAGGGCTGGCCTTGGTCACTTCAGCTGGGGAAATGTCTTGCTTCATTCCTTCTGCCCAAGGGAAGGACATGGGTCTAATTTTCAGTCTGTTTCACTTCATATCTCCATGTGTAATATAAATACATCGCTTGAGTTCAGGAAAATTTAATGAAGGACGTAAAAGTCAACTGTAATCACACTGGAGATAATTATTGATATAAGGCATCAAGTAATCTAAATAATGTAAATAATCCGAAGGGAAAAATAACTCCCAGCCTCCTAGATGTCTGGACACACTGAGTTCCTGTTCTCTAAAGTGGAAGAATGAATTCTAGGAACAATGGAGGTTAAGAGTAGGAAGAATTTATTGAGGGAAAGACAGCTCTACCTGAGAGAAACAGGGGAGAACACCCAGAAAGTTGGTTGCCCACCCACCCTGCTTCTCAAAAGTGTTTTATTGGGCCGGGGATTTAGCTCAGTGGTTCCGCTGCCTGTCTCACAAGCACAAGGTCCCCAGTTTCATTCCCAGTACAAAAAAAAAGTGTTTTATTGAGCAAAGCCACAAGGTGAGGTGGGTTCAACATGGGACAAAACTATCATCAACTAATAAGATTATAAGCTTAGGTAATGTTGGTCCAATGGGAAATCACAGAGCAGGACAAAACTATGATCGACCAATAAGATTCCAACAGGTATACTCACTTAGGTAATACTGATTAAATCAAATGGAGAAGCTAGTTATCTAATACATGGGCGAACAAGCATTTCCCAGAAGGAATGGGCTAGGGAGGTTTTGCTCCCCACCTCAGGTGACTGATGCCTGTTTAGAATACCAGTCACTGCTGTTCATCCTAGGGGAAGTACGTGAGTGTAGTTCTTCCTTTTTGAATCTTGACCTTTTAGTAAATGTATCTCAGTTACTTTTTGTGCTGAAGGCCCGGTCCTGCCTGCCCTATATTTTCTAACTAATTTGGCTGTCTTCGATATTATGGCTAACATTTTATGGCCTTTCTATATTCCAATATACTTATACTCTCTGAAACCTGGGCTTTTTTATTTGCTAATGTCAGTTTTTTGATGCTATCAAGTCATCCCAAGTTCCTTAACATTAGCCAAGTTAAATTGGAAGTTAGTCTATTGTGCCTGGTGCTCCAAGGTCAAGAATGAGGGAAGCCGCCTTTCCCTGGGGGATCAAAGAGAGAAGGAGGGGGGGATGCAAATGCTCCGATGGTGGAGGAAGTAGCTGGTGCCCTAGAAACCAGCCTGGAATTTACATGAAGGGCGTGGGAGCCTCAGGCTCCTGGAAAGGATTGGATGAATGGAATACTGGCCCTCCTTCAGAACTCCTGATCCAGCAGGGAAGCCTGGGGCTGCTGTTCAGCCCATCTGTCACCTGATTGACAGGGGAAGGAATTCTGCTGGCCACAGAGGTAGTAGGCAAGTCCCCTGGGGAAGAGTCAAAGGCTTCCAAAAGAAGAGGCTCACTAACTTGGTGGCTATCACCACTGTGCCTAGCCTGGCCTTGTTTACTTTTACATGGCAACTAGATATTTGTGTTTTGTCACTGGTCCTTACAGATTATCCTCATGTGAGGGAGTAAGTGTTGCACACATACTGTCCCTGTCATCTTGAGCTCAAAGCCATAGGCATGGGCTGCTTCTGCAGGCTGCAGGGGCAGGGCATGGAGAAAATGAAGCTTTTAATCTGGGTGAAGGAAGGGGATATAGCAATATCACACACGAGTTAGGCGGCTGGCCAAAGTCACAAAGCCAAGCGACCAGTCTCCTGACTTCCGGTCCAGCTCCCCAGCCCCTCCCTGCCAGCTGCCTTCGGAGCCAGCTCCCCTTGCAGGGAGGCCCTTTCCAGCCAATACTGGGGCCTAAGGGAGACAGGAAAGCCTGGGGACAAAAGGAAAGGGAGACAAGAAAGCCAGTAGATGGAGGCAGCTCCCCTTCGTAACACCTTCTCCTGCTCTGCTCTGCCCTCTCCTCTCCAGGGAACGAGAAAGACACAAGTGCTCCTGACAGCACTATTTTTAGCGGTGCTCTGGCTGTCAGCTCTGGGACGTGTTCTGTGTGTTCCCTAGAGCTTTCCCACCCCGATGTCACTCTCCAGAGGAGGGATGGGAACTGGAAGGCAGCCCAGTTAAAAGCCTTGGCATCCAAGAGCTCTGGTTCAAGCCCTCACAACCTCCAGTAGCTGGGAGACCTTGGGCAGCTCGCTGGGTTTCTCTGCCTTAGTTTTCCCCTTCACTAAACTGGAAATGGTGTTGCTCTGAGTTTATTATTAAGGATTAGATGATAGAATGCAGGAAAACACTTAGAACCGGGCCTGGCCTCCACCACATACATGCTCAGTCTCAGCTCTGATCGCTTCCAGGGCCCGCTTCAGGGGTGACCTCAAAGCCCGAGGCAGGGTACAAAGGCTGTGCTTTGAAAAAGGGCACCTCTCCCTATGAGGGAGCAGTCTATAGAGGTGACCTCCAGCTGTCAAGGCCAAGGCTCTGACCAGCTCTCTCTTTAGTCCTTTCAGGCATCATCAGCCACTTCAACCCTTCTGTTCTGATGCCCATGTGCCCTCCTGGAAATAGCACTGCTCCCCACAACGGTGTTGAGTAAGCTCCCTTTCTGTCTCTCTCCAGGGTTGTGTATTTCTGCTGGTCTCGGGCAAGCAGGTGGGAGGATTTCGGGGGCTGGCAGTCAAATAGGCTTCACAGTAGAGGGGTAATAAAAGAGCTTGCTGTCGAAGGTTTGTGGAAGACTAAATGAGTTATTAAGGCAAAGCTGAATGCCGCCCCTGTGCTGTTTTAAAAATCAGGCTCAGAGCCTGGCACCTTGGCTGGGGTAAGGGGTGAGCTGCCAGACCCTGGAAAAATTTCTGTCTTACTGATTTTTCTTTCTAATACCCTCTCCCTACACAGAGACTTATGGATTCAGGCTGAAGAACTGGTGAGAAGCTTGAAGCAGAACCCGGTAAGAGTCCATCTAACTCTGGCACTGTTGGGCTGCCTGTGGCCGCTGCTAGAAAATCAGGCCAAACAGAATGGGGATGGTTCTGGCACCGTCTTGCTGTGAGCACAGCAACTGGTGTGGGCTGGGCTCTGCAAAAGCATCCTTTCCACCCAGCTCTCTGAAGGTCACTAGAAGGAAAGACTAAGCAACTCTGCTGTTCAGAATGGTTGACTCGTGCTACTATTGAAATTTGGCAGATGGGGTGAATGATTTCCCACATAGGGAAGTGGTTGGGTTCCAGGGAGAGACTGGCTTGAGTTCAAATCCTGTATTTTCCACCTATTTCTGTGTGATGCTGGGTCAGGCATTTAACCTCCTAAGACTTAGTTTCCCTACTTATGGGGGTAATCAGAGAGCTTGCGGCATGAGGTTTATGGAAGATTAAATGGGTTACTGAATGTGCCTGGTGCAGACTTGGTGCTCAGTAAAATTCCATAGCTATCGTTGTCATTGAAGTTGCTGGTATTAATAATTACCCTATTAATTTTAGCTCTTAGGATGGAGGCCTCTATAACATATACTATCCTGGACACCTTGTTATCCGCTCTCCTAACAGTTCAGATGCCTTTGCCCAATTACTTACATAAGTTTGTAATAAGCATCCTCCAATGTTTCATGCTGCCCCTCTGGGCAAGTGTCAAATCAAGGCAGGCCTTGCACCAAGCTGGTTCTAATTGGCCACTACGACTACAGCCCTGGGCCCAAGGGAAGCTGCTGTCTCAGTCAGACGTGTGTACCTTAAAGGGTCAGGAGTTAAAGTGGAGGTCATTCCAAGTTCCATAGGGACATCCGCCAATGTGTGAGCTGTGCCACAAAGGATTGGTTTCCCCCAACAGAATTCCAGAATTTCTATGATAAGAGAATATAATTGTTCTGCAAATTGCTGGGAGGTCCTGAATTGAACCCCAAAATATTACGGATGAGGAAACTAAGATCACACTGCTAGTTAGAGCTGAAATCTAAAGTGCTTGATTCACAGTCCAGTGTTCCTCAACCACAGGATGCTGCCTCAGAAGAACAGAATAAAAGTTTGTTTTTTCTTGTACAAGTAACACATATTTTTATAGAAAAATCAGAAAATACAGATAAACAAAAAGAACATTAAGAACCATCCTTAAACCTACTAGCCAACAGTAATTATTGTTAATAACTTGGTACTTAGTCCTTTCCATGTTTTTGCTGAGTATATAAATACCAGTATATATATGGTAAAACAGGATGTTACTAGATGTAGATACTTTTTCTAGCCTATTTTTCTCAATGTATTATTTTCCATGACAATAATTACATTTTCCAGCACTGTTTCAGTAATCACATAATGTTTCATCTTATGAATGTTCCATAATTTACATAGTAATCTCCTATTTCAGACATTTATGTTGCTTCTAGCCTTTCATTCTTATGAACAAGACATCATTAGAGCTAAATATTTCATGTTTCACTTTTTCCTTAAAATAACTTTTGGGAAATGGAACTATTGGATCCAAAGTTATACCCTTAAAAATACTTTTATATTTTCCCCAGTTGCCTGCTAATAGTTCTACTACTTTAGGCTCCCACCATTTACTTCTTCTGATTAAAAATCCATAAATATGGGGCCAGGGATTTAGCTCAGTGGTTTCGCCGCCTGCTGCACAAGTGCAAGGACCCGAGTTCAATCCCTGGTACCAAACAAAACAAAACAAAAAAACCCCCAAAACCCCCCAAATCCATAAAGATAATTGTAATGGGAGTGGCTGTATGAAATTGAAAGATATGAAAAGAAGTTCTTTGGGCTCAAGATCTCACTGCTATTTCTCTTCTATGTGATTTTTCTTTAGCAACTTGATTTCCGCCAGGACTGGAAACTCATCAATGTGTTCTTCAGTAATGCAAGCCTGTGCTACCTGTGTCCCTCTGATCCTGAGGTAAAGTGTAGGTTGAGAAGCTGAGGGACAACAGGGGCAGGGATCGGGGAGGGTGAACTATCTATGAACCTTAACATTATTTTCCTGCATGTCTGTGGATATGAGAGTTAATATAAATAGCATTATACTTGGTGTAATATTGAGTAAATTTTTTGTTAACCAAGTATTTTTGAGAGCCGGTCATGATAATAACACATGGATTGAGTTTATTCTTGCTACTTGAATGCAGTGTACTCTATTGTATAAATTTACATTTTATTTAGCCATTACCCTACTGATGGCCATTAAGGCATTTTAAATTTCACTATTATAAGCAACGCTTCAAGAAGCAAACTTGTGCATTTACTTAAACAGGTGAGAGTATTTTTCTAGATATGGTGATGTTCAAATTGTGAATTGGAATTGAGTTGGTCACTTTCCTCATTGCTGGGACAAAATACTCTATAGTTACAACTTAAGGCTAGTGGATTGGCTCCAAGGCAGGACAGCATGGCAGAGGGGCAAGGTGGAAGGGAGCTGCTCACGGCATGGTGGACAGGAAGCAGAGAGAATCAAGGAAGGAGCTTGGAAGGGAGGTAGACCCTCCCAGCTCATGACCCTAGGGACCCGCGTCTTCCAACCAGGCCGGCCTCCTAAACAGCAAGACACGGATGCCACCTTCCTAACCCCATCACCTTTCAAAAGCCCTGTCTAGGAACGATGGGGCTCTTGGGGGTCATCTGGATAGAAACCATAACAGGAATATATCCACGAGTCCAAAAGAAATCAGTTTAAAGGATTGCAAGAAGGAAAGAAAATGGAATAAACTATAAAATATTCTAGTCCATTTCATTTAGTAAAGCAACTATTGGTTAGTGAATGTTGTGCTTCATTTCCATCTGGATATGTGTACTCGATTGTGATGGGAAGTATATTTGTCCTTGTCAAAATAGTTGGAAGACAAGTGCCCTGAGTAAATTTTAAGTATAGAACCACCAGTGCTCGAGTCTTAATAGTCTGCCTAATCGCTCACCTCATTTCCATTCCCACCACTGAACGCCTAAGGCCACCTCTCCCTAGAGCACTTCCAACGCTAGTTATCAAATGTAACGTTTTTTGTCAATATGTGAGATTCCCTCGAGATCTCTCATGTTGATACATAAGGGTTGAGTTTTTCACACACAGAACCTCACACTTTTAATTGGTTGCAAACATACGATAAAAGTAACTATGCCTCACTCCTGATTTCCAAGCCGTGAGCCGCTGTTTTCCATAAATTTAGCTCACTGCAGCGGCGCTCCACCCCCACGCTCCTCAGCCAAACCACACACACTGTCTTGTCTTCCCAGGGGCATCCCCGGCCCTGGTGCTCTCTTTAGGCTCTTCCTGTGGTGTAGCTCTACGTCTCCAGTTGAGTTCTTCCTCTGCATCCTTATATTCCTCAATCACATTTCAGGTACTGTCACTCCCTCTGTAATTACCAGAATGTTCGCTGGAGGTACCTCTGAGGGCAGAGTCTGAAGAGGTGGGCTCCTGGCCCTCACCTAACTTCATAGGGCAGCTCTGCCTTTTTCTGGCTCTGGTTGAGCATTTCCTGAAAGTTCATATAACAGAAAAGGTTTTCCCATTAAGAAATGGTAAACATGAGCCGGGGATTTATCTCAGTGGTTTCGACACCTGCTGCCCAAGCGCAAGAACCCGAGTTCGATCCCTGGTACCAAAAACAAAAAAACCCCATGCAGTGCCTGGGATGACTGGCTCAGCCCAGATTCCCTGTGTGGCCCTGACCAAAACACCCTGACTGGGGCTTTTCACTCAAGACAGCCAAACAAGTGTCTCCAGAGCCCTCGGGAAGATATTCATCCTGAATGTGGTGTTAAGAGGGGCAGCAAGGACATTTCTCGACAGTTCCCAGGGCTCCTCAGGAGGGGATGTGTGATGGTCAACTTTGCCTCAGGGAAAGACTTGGAAGAAAACTAGGTAGAAGGCTTCATGGCTGACGTCATGGCAGACCCGCCTGGGCTCCCCCAAAGCAGGGACGGACTGTGGAGAGACAGGGACATTACATTTCCTCCTCACTTCCTGCCTCGCAGTCCCCACTTGTGACTGGCAACCTGTGTCCCCCCTCCAACACCCGCCCCCGCTTCCCCCCCAGAAAACAGAACCACTTCTTAGCCATCTTTGTCTTCTCTAAGCCAAGTTGCCTCAGGGGACCACCAGTTTACAGGCAGCCTGGGAGTCCATCTTGTAAATTTTATTTATTTATATTTCACACTGAGAAGGTAAACCAGAGTCAATTTTTGAGGTGTTTTCATTTGTTTATTGTCATTATCAGCAAAGAGGAAGAGGGGGGTGTGTTGGGTGGGCAGCAGGTGTGTTTCACACACTCAGGTCATGGGGTCCTCTCGTGCTGTCTCTCTAGCAACCTTTCTATTGCTCAGGGCAAACATGGCAGGGAGAAGGAGGACAAAATAGCACCAGTTGAACATCCCTATGTGAAATCCACAATGTTCCATAGTCCAAAACTTTTTGAGCATTTTAGATTTTTGGATTGGAGGTATTCAAGCGGTACACTCTATGCAAATATTTCAAAAGGCAAAAAACTCCAAACTCTGAAACACTTCTGGTCCCAAGCATTTCAGAAAAGAGATCTTTCCCCTAAATCAGTGACGGTGAACCTTTTAGGGGTTTTGATAATAACAGCCAGCCAGCTGTGGCACAGGTGCTATAGGTTCGCCACCACTGCCCTGTGTCCTTAGAAGTTGCAAGGCTTAAGTCCAGGGTTGGATGTGTTCCCCTCAGACCCGAATGATTCTGCGAGCCTTTGGGAGTAAGTCTCCCACCCCTTACTTTGAGCATCACGATCATACCAGGTGTTCTGACCTTGCTCTAACCTTGGGGCCGCCTTTCCCTGACACAGGACTTCTCACCTGGGAGTTTGGTTTTTCTCCTGGTAGATGACAGGTTCAGGAAGCCAGAAATGGACCCCAAAAAATGAAAGTGCACTGGGAGCTCTACACTTGTTGTGGGAAGCCAGGGTCTCCGTCAGGGTTTGCCTAGGATCTCTCTCAGTGAGACCCGCCTGAGTCCGGGCATCCTCAGCCTCACGTCCGCCCTGTTGGCACCTCACTCAGTTCACTTCTTTGCTCACAGGACGGGCCCTTGAGTGACTGGGACAAGCTGACTGGGGTGCTGCACTACCTGCACCAGGAGGTGAGGCTATGCTCTGTGGCCCTGAGATCTGGGGCCCTTCCAAGGGCCAGTGGTGGGTTCTGGTTAACTCTGCCAGAGTGGGGAAAAATGGCTGCCTGAGAGGGAGAGCGAGAGCCCCAGCAGAGGAGAGCTCCAGAGGAGCTACTCTCTTAGCCTCTGAAATGACAGTACAGGTCAGGTTAGGCCATGCCACGCTTACAAAGGATGTTTCCAGAAGCAGTTTGGTTCCTCCTGGGGACCCAGTGGCCCTGCTCTTTCCTGAGGCCTCTCTCTGGCCAAGTCTGGGGCAGTGACAGCCAGAGGGCTGGAGATCCTCTGGAGCTTGCCTAGAGCTACCATGGCAACACCGCAGGTCTGAGAGCCTGAGGGCTGTGTGTGGCTGTCTCATGCCCCTGCACTCCCCCATCTGTGGACCCTCTGGCTTCGTGCAAGGAAGTACCCTGCCCAACATGAGGGAGGTAAGAGGCAATAGCAGAGCTGCAGGGGTGGCAGTCATGGACTAACCTCAACTGAGTATTTCCCAAGAGACGATCCCCAGTGGAGGTCCAACTGAGGGGTTCCGGAGAGCCCTTGGGCAGCCATGGCAACATGGCGATCACCTTCCTATCCCTTGTGTCCTCCTAGGTCCCCCGAGCATTTGTGAACCTGGTGGATCTCTCTGAGGTTGTAGCCATGCCTCGCTGGCATCAGGGGACTTGGCTCAGGTAAAAATGGAAGTGACATGGGACTAATGTGTGCTGTGTGGCTGCCCTGTACCAGGCCCTGCATGGGCACTCCGCATGCATTTGTCCCACAAGGGGACCCCAAGCGTGGAGGCTGGAGAGGTGAAATAGTGCATGGGACTGGCATAGTCAGGGGTGGAGGGCCTACTGTCAAGTACTATGTTGGGGACCCAGTTAAAGGTTTAAATATTCAGTCAGGCCTATGGAGTGCCAGAGACCCACCCTCTACCAGAATGATCTGAGCTTTAAAAGCCAGTTTTAGGAAAACGTCTCTGAGCCAAGAAGTGTTACTTCTGCAAATCAGGTAGGAAAGAATGTAGCCTAAGGGTATTTAACTTGTCAGAACTTAACCTCCATATATTTCTGATCATTTTCATAGAATTTAAACTTTTTGGAACCATATCCTAAAAATCCTGGCTTTGAACCAGGAAAAGAAGTTCATGTAGGAAAAGTCAGGGCAAGGACAGCTGGAGAAAGGACAGAGGACAGGACCGCCAGGAAAGGAGGCTTTGAAGAGGAAGGAGGGAGAACAGGGTAGAGAAGGGCAAGAAGGATGGGTATGGGCGGCAGCAGGAGCGGAGGGAGAAGATGACCATCTCCGTAGCCCACCCTACCCCAGGGCAAGATCTCCACACCTTGCTTCTCCACCTCGACCTTTTGGTCCCCAACATTTGCTGCCTGTCTTCTCCTATTTCCCCTGGTACCCCAGCTCCTCCCTCCCGAAGTGACTCCCCGGCCCCACCAGCCCCTCCTCTCCCTAGAGACTTCCCCCACCTCTCATTTCCTGTTGGTTTTGACCCACAGCAGGCCAGCTCCGGGGTCCTGCGGTTGCTCAGGGGAGACCTCAAAGCTGGCCACGGTTGTGAGGCAGTGGTCCTATCTGGTGAGCCCCTGTCCCTGTGTGTAAGGTGGGGGCCATCAGCGCTGGGGTGGGGGCTGGGCTGATTCTGTGGGGACAGAACGAGGGGCTTGGAAGACCCATTCTGAAATGCCTGTTGTCTTCATTACTGCTTCTACTGGCACATCTGTGGCTGGTGAGCCAGTTTTGCACAGGCAGTGCCTGTACTCCAGGCTTCAGCCCGAAAGAAGCCAAGGCTTCTAAAGACACGCATTTTAGCTGACAGAAGAGACTCTTACATAGCACAGCGGAGTCAATGAAAGCCATCACTGTCCTCATCAAACTGTCAAAGCATGGCCCCCACTAACCTGAGTTATCGCGACTTGTGTTTCGGAAGACAGCTGTGAGTGAAGCTCTGAGGGACGCTGCTTTCTCTCTGGAAATTGTCACTTTAAGAAAGCTTGTGGCTTGTGCCTCGGCAGAAAGCACAGGCCTGGTGGTGTACCAAGCTGTTTAGTGCTTCTTGAGCTTCCCCAAGCACTCTGCGGGATCTCTCTGGCATGGCCTATGGCTGGGGCTTCAGGAGCAAGTGAGAGCTCAGCATAGGTCATCAGGAGCCCTAAAGTGGGAGGCAAGGGGCCTTCCAGATAGCACGTCCTATACTGCAAGCAGGATGGGTGGCCCGAGTGAGGGGCGCTGAGAAGCCCTCGTGTGGCCGGGCAGCTCCGGCTCAGGCTCCTGGATGCACTCTCTGCTCCCTTCTCAGGAAGCCTGGGACAGGCTCCTGGCCTCCAGCAGCTTCAATGAGCAGGAGTCCTTCGCAGCGGTTTTCCAGCCTTTCTTCTACGAGGTGTCACCTCCTGGGGTGAGTGAGCTGCCTATGACGCCAAGAGTGCAGAGGTGGGGAAGCCTAGACCACGCATCAGCTCTCGGCTGCGGCCCTGCAGAATCCCCAGCCCAGTCCAGCTTCACAGAACCTGACATACATAGTCTCAGAGTCAATGCCAAAACATGCTCTGACACTTTCTTATGTGGTCCCGGAAAGCAGGTTCTTAGAGGCAGGGAGCTCCAAGGTGAAGAGCGGGCACTCAGGCTTCAATGCTTGGCTTCCACTCCTAGGTCTGAAATGGGTCAGCTGTGTCACCTGGAGCAAGTGGCCTCACCTCTCTGTTTGAAATCCATAAAATGAGGATTGTTATTACTGTTCCCGCCCTCTGGGGTGGTCACCAGGATCACATGAGCTAATTCACAGGAAGATCTTGGCACCTCTTAGCTGTTGTTATTCAGGACGCCATCTCCAAGGCTGCTGCCTCTCCTCCTGTGCTTGCTCTTCTACACCCATCCCCAGAGGGTCACTGGGCCAGGGGGCCCCCCAGATCCTGGGGCCCTGGGTGTGGGGCCACAGTTGCTGACCTGGTCTCTGCAGCCTGAGCCCTCAGGGCTGTGCCTAGGAACTGTTGCTTCCTCCAGGCCACTGGCTCCTGTCTGGGGGAGGTCATTGTGCCACCTCCAGGACACAGTTTAAAGCAGAGGAGAGCCAGGTATGGTGCCACACACCTGCGATCCCAGAACTTGGGAGGCTGGGGCAGGAGCCAATGAGTCCAAGGCCAGCCTGAGTTACATAGTGAGTTCACGGCCAGTCAGAGCTACCTAGCAAGACCCTGTTGAAAGAAAGAAAGAAAAGAAAGAGAGAGAGAGGCAGGCAGGGAGGCAGGCAGAGAAAGAGAAGCGCAGCCTCCCGTCACCCCTCCCCATCCCAACACACCATACCCAGAAGGCTCCCTGTTCCTTCTGCTGTGAGACTTTGGTTATGGAGAGCCCGTGACACATGGAGCAACCAGACACTTGCCTTGCCCCTGCCCGCCCTGACCTTTGAGACCTGGACCCACACAGTGCTCCATGAATGCCACTGACACTGATGGGAGCGGGAGGCTGAGGGAGAGGGAGGTGGGGTGGGTGGGTGCCATCCCACCCCCGTAAGCTCCTTTTCACCTGCTTCTCTTCCAGGAAGGGCCCCAGGCCCAGGACCCTAACACACTTGCCCTGAGCCTCTGGAACAACATGGTGAGTGGGTGGGTATGGGTGGCCCTCAGAGGGAGAGGCAGGGCTGCCACTGTCATGGTGCCCCCTGTGCCCACTGAGGAGGGGCTGAAGGACACCAGGAACACTTCTCAGGCCGAATGGCAGCCCAGCACTCCCTCTCGGAGTTCAACCTCTTGGCCCCAGGGCTGGACTATTGCTTGCCGGGGACAGGGTGTTGAGTGAGCCCCAGGCCTGCTGGCCCCAGAGGCAGGGCCGTTTCCTTGGAGTCTGTGCAGAAGACCTGCTTTGAGTGGGGTTCTTGGGCACGGGCTCCCCTCTCATCTCTCCCCTGCTTTCCTGCGTGCCTTGGCAGCACTGTGCAGATTTAAAGGCTCAGAGAAGGGCCTAGAACCAGCAGGGACTTCAGAGTGGTCAAGACCCGGGTTCAGAACCAAATTCCACCTCTTATTGCGTGTGGGCTCAAGATCTCCACTCCTTTCTTCAAAGCCCCAGCCATAGCTAGGTGTGGTAGCACATACTAATAATCCCAGCTACTCAGGAACCCAAGGCAGGAAGATCTCAAATTTAAGGCCAGCCTGAGGAATTTAGTGAGACCCTGTCTCAAAAGATGGATGGATGGATGGATGGATGGGGCTGAGGTTGTAGCTCAGCGTGAGGCCCTGGGTTCAATCCCTAGACAGGAAAAACGACTATACACCCTGATCCCACACATCCGGTGTGCAGCTCAGTCCTGGCTGGTAGAGAGGACTCTGCCTGTGCTGGCTCTTTGTACTGTGATGGTGACAGGCTTCCCAAGTCCTGACGGTGCCCCAGGGATCTCAGGGATTAGTCAGTGCATGGAATGCAGCAGCAAGGCTTGCGACCTTCCGAGAGAACGAGGCACGGACCTACTTTGGCATTTATTTTTTCCCATCCACACTGCCCTATTTTTAGAATTCCTGTGACGAATTTGTTTTTCTTCTCTCTTAGATTAGAACCATTTTATCCATCTCAGCTGGTATGCTATGCCGAGTGCATGAGCAGCCAGTATAGGACCAAGCAGGCAGGAAGGGTACAGCCCCACAGCCCCAATGGCAGGAAGCATCCTGGCCTTCAGAGAAGGCATCAGATTTCTTTTGGTACCGGGGATCGAACTCGGGTCCTTGCACTTGTGCAGCAGGCGCAAAACCACTGAGCTAAATCCCCGGCCCCAGGCATCAGATTTCTTCGGGCAGGGATGGTTGTTAGTGGACTTGACCCTTGGGTGGGACATTTCCCAGAGAAGCACTTCGTGGCTGCCCTCCCACCCCTCTCAGCAGAGAAGGCCATTGCTCCAGCTCAGCCAAACTGCCGGCCCCTCCTCCCACATCACCTTTCTCCTCACCCACTGCTGCCGGCCCCTGCGGGTGCCTTGTGCTGGGAGCTGAGGGAGGTGCAAGAGACCCCCAGTGTGGCCTCCGTCCTCCTCATGGAGGGAGCTTAGCTCCCAAGGTGCAGCTGGGAAGGGAAGGTAACCCTAGGAACCAGGTAAACAGACAGTGAGGTGAGCCAGCTGTGCACCCAAAGGCAAGGCGAGGGGGGAGAGGCTGTAGAGGTGGGGTTAGAGGTGGCTGAGGCACAGGGAGGTTGAGAACTCGTGGAGAGGAGAGCACAGTGAGTCAGATGTGGCAGCTGGGCTCAGAGAGGGCTAGGCCCACCCAGCAGGCAGGGGAGCAAGAAGAGCCAGAGATGAAACGAAGCCCTTGAACTCCAGACTGGGGAGTGCCTGGGGAGTCCATGGGGGCAGGGCTAGTTTCCTTTCTTCTATTTTAATCTCGCTGTTGATTGTCCTTGATGTTGGTGGTAGCAGTAAGAATAAGCACCTGTATCGGGCTGTGGAGACATGTACCTGCGCATACAAACAGGTGTCCTGCATGCCCAGCTGATTCTAGTCACCCTGAGGTCGGGACGAGCAGGCACACAGAGAGCACAGAGGCGCTTACCCTCCAGGCCAGCTTCCCCCGAGCTCCTGGAGGTTCCTGCAGCTCAGGAAGGGGAGGGAGGGGGATTCACCCAGTGCATCCCTTCCCTAGTTTCCTTTTGGGAAACACCAGGCTCTCCATGGTGCTGCTAGAACTCACGGGCCATTCCTGCAGGTGAGAATCCATCCATGAGTGATCAGCGACAGGTTAGGGCCAAGGACACAGGGCGAGGAGTCAGAAAACCTGGGTTCTAGTTTCTGTCCTGCTTTGAGTTATTTCTTGAGGCAAGTGACTTAGTCTTTCTGGGCCTCTACATTTTCTACCTGCAAAAGGGTACAATGACATCCGCCAGCCTGAGGGCTTGTGAAGAGGCCGGTGAGTTTGGGCTCCTTCTCCCCCTCGGGTTCAGTACTCCTGCTCCCCTGGGATCAGGAGCAGGCAGGGGTCTTTACTCCTCGATTTTTGCTGTGCTGAGCTTAACTGGGGCCACCTCAGGGAGAGCCGGGTGTACTTGTCCTGTGCTCACATTTGCAGACACAGAGCCAGGTGAGAGGTGGGGAGTGGAGAGGGGACAGTAGGACCGCTGTGATCATGGGGCCCAGGACACGCCTGTAGGGAGAGGTATCTCTGCAGCCCTCAGAGCCATGTGCAGCTGTACACAGGTCACAGGGACACCTGCCCTCCCTGACCCAGCCCATGACGGGCATGAGCTCTGGGGGGGGGGGGGAGCTCCGCCTGCCGTGGTACAAGGAGCCCTGAGGACGCCACGCCTAGGACTGTCCCACAGCAGAGCTCCAGACGTGCAGCTGAGGAGGACTTAGGGTTGGGGACAAAACTCATTCTCGGTGCCCCTCTGCTGCCACCTCCGTACTTTCTGGGAATTTCCTGTACAATGGTAGTGTTTAAGGGACCCACTTCTAAGGAACTCAGGTCCCAACTCCTTCCAACATGCACTGAACCAACCTTGTCCAAGCCCTGCACAGGGTGCTAGAGCCACTAGCCCTTTAGGTAGGGTAGGGAATGTGGAAATTGCTCACATTTGAGTAAGAGCTCTGCTCCTTGGGAGGAATTTTTTTTTTTTTTTTCAATGCTGGGGATTGAACAGAGAGCCTCACTCATGCTAGGCAAGTGCTCTACCACTGAGCTATGTCCCAAGGCCCCCAAAAGAGGTCCCCTCTCATCCCTCATACACTAGCTAATTTCATAGCGGCAAGGAAACGCAAGGAGTTAAAGGACCAGGAAAATGGAGTAAAAGAGTAGTGTCCCTGCAGTAAAAAAGTAGTGTGCGCACTTCTGTGTGCAGCATGGGGTGGCTAGGGAAAGAGAGATTCTTTGAAGGAACCAGGTCATCTTCCACCCTCGCTGAGGATATAGGGCTAGCACAGTTGTAAAGCGATTAGCAGGAGAGAGAAGGATATAGGGGACTAACACAGACACATTTAGGATCCTTAATAGAAATGGATTTATTGGGGGAAATCCATACATTTTCTTTTTCTGAGGTCCTTGAAAGATAGGCTCAGCTCTGTCCATTCTATCAGAATCCTCTAGATGTGCCTCTCTCGGGGCTTCTCTCCAGATTCTTACTGATTAAATTTTGAAGGACTGGAGAAAAGAAGCAGCAAGCAAGGGGTCAACACACCCTCTGTGGGCTGCTGAGCCATCATCAGAATAAAACCGAAAGAGGCATGAGAGAGCCCAGTTCCTCCCCAACTCCAGGGTTATAGGGCTGCCACTCCTTTTCCAAATGTGACCTTAATTATGCCTCTTATTGGACTCTCCTTCCATTTGATGAAAATCATTCTCACCTTGGGTAAAGGTCCTTCTCAGCTTCTTGTTGGGCAGGGCACAGCTTCTGGCTAAGATACTGCAGGAGGATCTGAAATCCTCATACAGATGCAGAATCTGTGACTGAGCCAGACAGAGTGCCCCAGCCAGTAGCTTCCTGCATCCCCTGTCAAGAGTCCTTAGAAAGGGACCTGAGGACAAAGGTGCCACAAGAGCCCAGAACTCTGGGCTCCAAAGCTGAAACTCAACATGACACTCGCAAACAGAAAATAGCATGTACAGAAAACAATCTGTGACCCCTCAAAGCCCTGGAAATATTTGCTCTAATCATTTATACATGTATAATGAACACCTTAAATGACAAACCCACCCCACCTCCATCTAATTCTTCAACTCTCTTCATTTGTCTGTCTTCGGCACTTTTACCTAAGTTCATAACCTGCTGGTTTCCCCTGCTGCTATACCATGCACCACTGCCTGTGTTGTTGGGTGACCTTCCTGGCTGTCATTTAAGCAGCTGCCTGTTTCAGAGTTGGTCCCACACCACCCATTCCTGAATCCCTAGTTATCCTGGCTGGCTATGAGGACTGAGCTGTGTCCCTTGTCACCATATCTCTGTTTCCCAGATAGAGACGTGGGGCTTGCTTGACCCAAGCCCAACACTGGCTTCACCCACAGCTGTGGAAACAGAGTACCAGAGGGCTTTGTTCTCCATCAGGAGTGAGTTTGTGTGGACACAGGAAGTGGGCAGGATGAGGGAAAAGCCACGGGATTTACACAAGTGATGGATTGCCCCTTCCTTCCTGTCTTGCTCTCCTGTCCAAGGAAATGTGGTCAGTGAGCCAACTAAAAGTTGGGCAGTGAGAAGCAGGACAAGAAGCAAAGCTGGGCAACTGGCCCCTGAGGGACCACTGGGAGACCTTTGCTTGATCCAGGGTACCAATGCCAGAGTCTCCCCTCCTAGCTAGGCCCCATCTCCTCCTCTCTGCGTTCACTTCCTCTTGCACTGTGAGGACTAGAAGTCCCTTCAGTAGCAAAGCCCCACCAGTTCTTCCCATGCAGTGGTTCTCAAACTCGAGCCTCACAGTCACCAGCAGCTGACTCGGCAGGTCTGGAATAGGGGCTGGAAATTGCATTTGCCATGAGTTTCCCATAGTGCTAATACTGCTGGGCCAAGTGCCAAAATTTGAGAAATTTGAGAAATGCTGGTCAAATGTTACCTTAAAGGACTTTTCTGTTCCAAAGGTCCCCTTCTTTTCTATTTTTTTTTTTTTTTTTTTTGGTACTGAGGATCGAACTCCGGTCCTTGCGCTTGCGCAGCAGGTGGAGAAACCACTGAGCTAAATCCCCGGCCCTTTTTTTTTTAAACTGAAACCTTTTTTTAATTTGTTTTTGGTACCGGGGATCGAACTTGGGTCCTCGTGCTTGCGAGGCAGGCGACAGAAATCCCCTTCTTTTCTAGATGAAGCCAGTGGGACAGAAAGATGAGCCATTCGGTGCCATAGAGAGGAGGCTGATAAAGTGTCCGTCTCAGGTAGGAAGGATTGGGCTGAGTGGAGGGGAGAGATCTGGTGGCCCCGTGGACTTTGCTGAGAAGGGGCATCTGTTCTTCTGGGCCTGGCCACACTTTTGCATGCAGGGCTCCCCTAAGGCTGATGCCTGTGGGCCAGGGGAGCCATTCTGGCAGCACGGAGGTCTCCTACACCAGTGGAAGGCACAGGACCAAAGCTTACCTGGTCCCAAACAATGGCCCCACCCACTTTCTCTGGGCCCCTGGCCCTGGGCTCCAATGCCATTTCCAACATTTCCTCTACCTCCGAGTGGAGAAGAAGGAAAGAATGATGAGTATCTAGGTGCCCTTGAAGGTGGGTTGCTTTGGCTATGTCTAAAATCTGTGGCTAATATGTAGTAGGTATATAATTAATGTTGCCAAATAAATGGATGAGAAAATGGCTAAACCTGAATAACTTCTATCACTGCTAAGCAATTTGTTAACTTTCCTGATACACTGATAAGTATTTGTCTTACTGTACAATGAGAAGTATTACTCTCTTTACTTTGGCTTCCAAGAAGCTTAAAATTAAGTTCTCTTCTCACTGAGATATATGTACTTAGCCTGGCAGTGCACAATCTTCCAGGAAACAAAAGCCAGAGACGCTGACTTGCAAATGGGACATTTCAATGCACCAGTACCTTCCTGAAGGAAATGAATGGGCAGCCCAGGAAAGAGAGGCCAGACAATGGCTTGGTGATCACTGAGGGGATGTTGTGAATGTTGTGAATCGGCCAAAGGCATTGCTGGGTGGTGATCTCTGATAATTAAGGCATGCAGGTTCCTGGATCATGATTACCACATGTCACCTTTCTCTGCAGGAGAGCCCCTATCTGTTCACCTACAGGAACAGCAACTACCAGTCCAGTTTGCTAAAACCCCAGAGGCAGCCTGAGGTAGGGAAAGGTCTTCTGTGATTGCCAAATATTCAGGTGAACCAGGGGCCACTCCTCAATGCTGAATCTTTGGAAACTTCATGTGTTTTCCCCTGGGACAGGTACAGGCATTTGAAACTCAGGGCAGGCTGGAGGAGGGTGCAGGGTTGAGTGTGTCACCGTTCCTTTGGTACTTGGAAGCAGATCTCCCTACAGTATCACTCAAGAACCACCCGAGCCATCAGCTCCTGTGGCATTATGGGATTTGGGTGTGTCTGTTCCCAATCTGTTGTGACTCTACAGGCCTTCCTAGATCTCTAACAAGTTCATCAGAGTTCATTTGAGTCCTTAATCTGAAGAAAACCATAGGGAAAGGGAAAGAGACGTGGTGAACTCTGGAACCACAGAGTATAGAAACCAAAAGGCCTTAAAAGTCATCATACTTACTCATATCTTTCTTATGACTTATCTCAGTGTCACCTTTTGATACTGCTGGCTGAGATTAGATAGGGTTATCTACTCCTCTGAGAATCTCACCAACACTTTACGGTTGATGTCTTTGTCCCTAGGGAACTGGGGACTTAGGGGGGTCGAGTGGGAATCGATTCTAATCCTTACCTCTGCATTTTATGAAGCACAGTGACATTTATCCAAGTGGTGGAAGCTAAGTTAGTAGCCTGGGCCTCTACCCTGAGAGATGCAGTGTGAAAGACTCTTGATTTACCAACCTGTCCCATACTTTCTAATATCATACCAGGAAGGACACATCCAGGGGGTAGTGGCACAGTGAGTTAGGAACCTGGCTCTGAGTTCAAATGCAGACTCTTCCATTGACGGGCTCTGGGTCATTCAGCAAGGTCCTGATCCTCTTCATGCCTTGGTTTTTAACTTGGAAAATAGTGAAATAATAGTTCTACCAAATAAAGTTGTGAAATTGCAATGAGTTAATAAATTGAATAGTATCTGGCATGCCATGAGTGCTTTGTAAGAGTTGGTATTGTCCTCTGATAAGAGGCAGGGATGTATTCTTTTAGGTATACTTATTAAGTATCTCCCATGTAGGTCTAGAATGCAAGCTCAAGGCAGAAACTCAGGGTCAGGGGCCAGTAACTCTTTGTTGACTGAATAAATGGATGGCTAGGTGGATTCCAGACATGGGGAGTCAAAGCAAGTAAGATATATTGCTTATCTGAAGCAACTAAGTCAACCGGTAATTATAGCACAATGTAGTAAGTACTATAATTAAAGCTTTCCTGGGGTATTCTGGGAACACAGAGGAAAGAAAGCTTTCCTAAGGGTGCCTGTGCCCTCAGTCTTGAATAATGACTACAGCTGAGCCAGGTGTAGGGAAGGGTGAGGCAGTGGAAGGAAGTAAAGGAGAGGGTAAGAGAGTGTGAAACAGAGACATGGAGGCACGGAGGGTTGGGGACTTTGGTCAGGGTCTAAGAGTTTGGAGACCTCTTAGGCCATGAGTGGGAGAATGGACTTTGGGCTAAAGCTGATACAGAGGAGTGATTTCTTTGTTCAACTCACAAGTATTTGCTGAGCATCTACCATGCCAGGAACCATTCTAGGCTCTGGGGACACAATAATAAATAACACAGACACAAATGCCTGTCTGTACTGAGGAGTTGGGAGGGGAATACCGACATCCTGTTGGGAGAGGGTATTCTGAAATGACCAGAAATCTGGGAGGGAACCCATGGACTGAAGACGGTGATCTTGGTGAGGGGCGCCACGTTTCAGGCCAGAAAGAGCAAAGGTCTGAACTCCAGCTGAAGAGGAGGCCTTGGAGAGGGGGCAATAAATCGGGGAGCCACTGGACAGGATGTCAGGAAGAATGGGATACCAGGACATGGGAGAAATCTTTAAAAACATCGAAGGTTTTTACCTTACCTTTTATTTTTCCAACAGAGAGAGCCACTTCTCACCCAGTTTCCAATTTAGTAAGGTCCTTTTCTTCTTATTTCATTTCAGGTGAGAGAAGGAACAGAGACCAGCTGTCCTGACAAGAGTCCTTCCAACTCAATTCCCACCTCAGGTACACACTCGCATTCAGTGATTTTCAAACTCGTTTGAGGCTTTTCAAGGGCAATATAAGTAGCTCTGCCTGTGTACTGAGGTTGTGGTTGTGTTTGGTTATTGTTTTTAAAAATGATAAAGGTCACTATCAGGCGGCATTTATTGCGTACTGACCCTGTGCTAGGCCTGTTCTGCACGATGCTAGTTGAGTGAATTGATGCCATTCTCCCTGCCTTGCAGCCTTGATGGTTGAATTTGTTCTTCAAAAAAGCAAAATTGCCTTCAAACAGAACAGTGCAAAACACCCAGTCCATTATCCCCATATAGGTTCTATGCAGAATGCACTCAAAGCTGCACAGAACAGGAAAATACCCATCTGTGCATTTCACTGCCTCTCAGTATTTCTAAAATGTCTGTTTCTGATAAAGACATTCATGGAATTCTCAGCTTGCACACCTTCTGAAGAGGAGCTGCCTGAAGGCTGCCCCTTTTCTTCCAGCAAGGCAGCCTGGGAGCGCTGGCCATGTGTATGTGACTCATGTGCCTGTGGAGAGTCACAGGAGGGTCATATCGTGACCCATGGAACTCACGGCATTAGTGTCACAGCACCAGTGGCACAGGTCCCCTTGCTTGGTCCTGGAGGGGGATTAAATATGTTCATCCATTAGAGAACTGCTGAGTGCCTCCTATGTGCCTTCCAGGAGTTCGTATTCTAGTTGATCTATTACTCCTCATGGCCTCAAGATTATAAAAAAAAGACAGAAAATTAAGTTTAAAGATGTCACAGTGCCTACGTGGATGAAATATCTTTGCAGTTAGACTGTATTCTTATACTGTGAGTAGAACAAACAAATGCCCTGGTTTAGCCTGCTCTTCACACATGTCTTAGCTTTGTACACTCAAATGATGGACATTTAAGTTAAAAATCTTCTCACCAAAACCTTGATCTATAACCGACACTGGTTCTAAGCTGAAGTAATGGAATAGGTGATTGCATTTGATCTGCTTTCTGTTGCTGTCACAAAATACCTAAGGCTGGCAGAGGTCCTCAGGCAGCCTGAGCAGACCAAGGGTTCAGGTGCTTTGCCTCATGAAGCAGTCACTGGGCCCAGAAGTGCACAGCCCGGGTGCAGCTCAGTGCCAAGCCAGGTACAGCAGGCTTCAGGGTTCTGCTCACTGCAGGAGTCAAGGTCTGAACAGCAACTTGAGTTGCTAAAGTATAGTTTTACCATAGTCTTTCATTTGAGAAAAGATGGATTATATCAAATAGTTTTAATAGAGATAAAATTCTTAAATAATTGAAGAGTGAAAAATCCATTTTTAAAAAATAAGATATTTTCTCTAGTAAAAAAACCCACAAAAAACCTAAGGCTGGGTACCTGTAAAGAAAAGAAGTCTTCTATTTAGCTCACAGTTTTGGAGGATGAATATCCAATATCAGGTGACATCGCTCTTGACTGGGATACAACATACTGGAGAATGGGAAGGGAATTGGCCTTGTGCAGAAGAGACCAGGTTTGTGGGTTGGCCTCAGTCTATAATGACCCCTTCTAATAAGATCTAATTCACTTTAGGAGACCAACATTAATCCCTTCCAAGGGCATTGACCTAATTACCTTGCATTAAATCCCATCTCTTAAGAGTTCCACCACCTCACTGAGAACCAAGTCTCTGGCTTTTGCACCTTTGGGGGACAAAGAACATCCAAGCCATGGAAGTGATAAAGATCTTGCATATGCATGCATTTTAGTCTTTAGACTTCTTGCCCCCATGCTTCATACCTATGGGCCATATTACCAGCTGGACTTTAGCAGCAGAAATAAATGATCAGCTTTATACATAAGTCTTCCCTGTAGTAAAATCACTTACTCAAAGATATAGCTTTGGATATATCCATATATAGATGTGCATATTGAGATAGAGAAAGATAGAATATCAACCTGAATGTTTTAATAGCCATACTTTTTATAGTGAAATAATATCCATTCCTTTTTAATCTTATCACTCTGGAAGGATGATCTATAAAGCATTTTGCAATCTGTCTAGATTGTTTCTGTCATGACAACCATGACAGTCTATTTGAATATATCTCAACATCTAAATAGTAGATAAATTGCGAACCTCTTGTTTACTCTATGACCTGATGATTATTGTGTTTATCAGTACTTGAAGATACAAAAGCAAGAAATCTCAAGGCCTTGGGATCTGAGATGCCCTAGTGATAGGAGCCTTTTGAGTAAACAGAGTTAAGCCTTTCTGAGTTAACCAAGGTGGCACAGGGCCAAAATAGTCATGGTTTGCAACTGGGGACACACTCATCAATAAAGCTTGGGCTGCAATGCTGAGTCTCATCTGAAAAGTTGCCCCCAACCAAATGGACAATAGTGAAAACCATATCATTAGTGTGCCATTGATTATAATTAAGGATTCTCACCATACTTTTGAGTGATGAGAGAGGCTGAAAATCTTAGCACAGGGCCACAGTGTTATTTTCCTCTGATAACTGTCATGTTTCTATTGAGTTCTTTCTCGCTTCTGGATATCATGTTTATAATTTCCAATCAAAATGAAGGCATTTGATATGCATATGAGCTGGTCATCTTATTTTTATAACTTAGCACATGGTAGGAGCCCAATAAATGTTTGTTGAATCACTTCTCAGAGTTGAAACAGATCTTAAAAATTATCCAACCAAAGTGTCTTCCATGAAAATAATTTTTCACTAAGACTATCTTACAAAATAACTATTTCACCCTCAGAATTATTTTCAGAAACCACCTCAGTAGTCCTCTTTTCCAGTGTTTGCCTCAATCCACAGACACATGGATCTGAACATCCCTGAAAGTGATGTCAGAAGAGGTGGCTGCCTATGACCCCAGGCCAGGTCTCTGCAGCCCAGGGCCTCATTCTTTGCACACTTCTGAGCTCAGGGGTGATGAGCCTGGTCCCCTGTCCTGTAGGCCTTGGGAATGACACAGAGAGCCGATTTATATGTCGTTTCTTTCATAACCAATTAGTATTTGGTGGCCAATAAAAAATAAAAGCTTGCACGGTGTGCCTCCCAGTCAGTGCACGTGTGCAGGTCTTGTGCTGAGTGCCAGCTCTGGTGGGCTTTACCACTTTGTAAACACTTGCACCAATATTTTATGTTACTTGCTGGTATCTCTATTCCACCTACCCGGGATAACTAAGAAAAAAACCTATGCTGGGCTGAGTGGCTGACTTAAGGTTTCCTGGTGAGAAAAGGAGTATCTTTCTCAAAGGATTGGGGACAGGGAGTGAGAGGGGATGTGGTGTGTTGGCCACCTATTGAGGTTGGCTGTCTTGAAGTGAAATCTCTAATCCCACACAGGGGGAAAAACTCATAGGTTTTGAAAACAGATCTACAAAGCTCATTATATGTTACTCTCACCAATAGTATAAACCAGAATGGCTTGTTCATGTATTGTGAGCCATTGATTCCTGTCTAAGCTTCCAATATCATTTATTTGACCCATTTAGCTAAATTGTGCTCTTTAAAAAACTAATATGAAAATATGCATGTTAAACCAAGCATCATGGCCTATAGTACCTGTAATCCCAGCACTCTGAAAGGCCAAAGCAGGTGGAAGACAAGTTCAAACCCAGGCTGGGAAACTTAGCAATTTAATGAGAACCTGTCTCCATTCATTCATTCATAAATAGGGCTAAGGATGTAGCTCAGAGAGAGGGCCTGGGTTCAGTCCCCGTTTACCATAATAAATAAGCCCATGTTACAGCACTGGGTGGTCATTCTAGAATTTTGCTCCATTGTAAACCAGCAATATGTTCAGTGTAGGTTCTGAAGCTATTACTATGGTCACCATTTGTTCATGGGGCTTTCGATTTGACCTAACCTGCCATCAGGAAGGAAATAATAGCCTGCTTGTCCCTAGGTGCAACCAGCTCATCGTGCAAGTTCAAATTCATCCCCAAGACATTTATTTGTCTGTTTCCCTGCCCTACAGTTTTCATCACTTTAAAGCTCTGAGAGCTTTGAAATCCTGCCACCAACCACATAGCCTTTAATTCAAGTTAACACTTTTTATTACTGTATATTTTAATTGACATGTAGTTGTACACATTTTTGGAGATACAGTGTGGCATTTCAGTACATCTAAATAATTTGTAATGATCAGATGAGAGTAACTGACATATCCATCATCTTAGACCTACATCACTTTTTGTGACATGAACACATTTGAGTTCCCACTATGTACAAGGTGCATATTTATCTATCTAAACTCATACCAAAGACTCCAAAGGCAGAAAAACAAGTCTTCTGCCAGCAAATTGCTATCATCATGGAAGTGTTTTCATAAGTCCTTAAAATCAGAGAGCAAATGGGTTGGGCATCCCCAGCTGACAGTTGAAGGAGTTGGTTTTTCAGATTACAGCCCCAAGTGGTTTAAATTGTTCGGTTACACAACACGTAACACGAGCATGCCAAACATTTCTCCTGGGATTAGCTTTTACAATATGGGGAGCACCTCCCCATTCTATACTCAAGTGCATGGATTTCCTCACTGTTGAAGATACTTCATCAGAGCTCACTCAGTTGACCTTTTGATAAAAGAGTCCTTCCCTAGGAATCTTGATGAGTTAGTGATATGTTTATCAACTTCTTTCAAGGTAGTGGACAGTTTGTACCAGATAATGTTTAGCTAATCAAGCCCCACCAGTTTAATCTTATTTCTAAATAGTTCTTTTGCCAAAGAGAGCAATTGCTGAAGTTCTTTGCTTCGTGAGTATGATAGAAAAATACAATGAATGTTTTACATTTTAAAAAAATTTATTGCAGTAGAAGATACATTTCCACTAATCCCCCTCAAAATACTCACCCCTGCTTTGAGCACACTTAATCTATCTTCTTGCCACTTTCTGAAGCAGTTCTGAAAATCCTCTTTTGGGAGTGTCTTTAATTTTGCTGTTGTGGCAGTGAATTGATTCAAAACATTTACCTTTTATGGTCATTTTGACTTTGGGGAAGAGCCAGAAGTTGCATGGTGCCAGATCCAGTGAATAAGGCAGATGAGGACACACCATAATGTTTTTCATGAGCCTACCTTTCGGTTGGATGACACTCAGCAGAAGCATTCACTGTATTTTACATCACACCTTACAAAGACACTCACAAAAAAGAACTTCCAGAACTTCTTCAGAAAGTGGCAAGAAAGATACATAAGTTTGAAGTGAGGGAAAGTATTTTGAGGGAGATTAATGGTAATGTGCCTTTAACAACCCTTCTATTTAAACACAGACATATTTTGATCACCCTTTGTATTTAAGCTGTGTCTTTGTCATATATGATAACATTAATAAACCACAAATCAAGACTTATAGACTATTAGACCAATGTAATACATTTCTCTAACTTAATAAAATCTGGATAAGTCAACCCTTCCCACCTACACCTGTTTCATCAATTTATCTTTTACTAAGAACCCATCTGAACATCAAATTCCCCTTCCAGAAACTATCTAATTTACACACATACTCATTGTTATAGTTTAGATCTAAAATGTCCCCCAATTTCTTAGGTGTGTGGAAGGTGCTTGGATCATGGGACTGGATTCATCCATTGATGAGTTGAGTAGCTAAATGTGCTGTTAGGAGGTGGACCTGGTTGAAGGTAGATCGCTGGGAGTGTGACCCAGATGTTTTATTCTTGTTCCTGGCTCCTCTCCTGTCTCTCTTTCCTTTGTGGCCTCCATGGATTGAGCATCTTTTCCTCTGCCATGCTCCTCTATTTTTTCCTTGGAGCCAGCCAACGTGGGCTAAAAACTTGAGCCAAAATAAATCTCTACTCCTTTGTAGTATTGTGGGTGTTGGGTATTGTGTCTCAGGGATGGGGAAGTGACTAAGGCACACACAGAAAAATACATTTGTGTGTGTACATGTATATTTGCGTTTCCTTTCTTTCCATTACAAATTTAGGAGACAGGAGTGGTCAGTTTCAGCTACCTTTTTAGAAAAGTATAATAATAAAGCTTTTGAAGCAAAATCTGCCATCTCTCCCACATTTTACCAACCCCCCAAGATTTCCCCTAACCTTTGCATACCAGCTAGTGTTCAGAGAATTCACTCTATTATGCCAGTAAGAATGTAGTGATTGACTATCATCACTGGGAGCTAAAATAAACCCCTCTGGAGTGCAGAGGAGGGGTGTCAGTTTCCGTTTTTGTTGCCTTTTTTACCCATAGCCTGATTTCCTTCAGATGGGGTCATTTTAACGTCCTCATGCTTAGCCCTGTAAACGTGTGCTAATGTGTGCAGCTGGCTTTATGATTTGATATTGTTCTTCTAACCACATAGTATAGCTGTGGGAGGCTGGGAAGGGCCAAGCAGGATATAATCATGTGGAAGGCTGTGTGTGTGTGTGCGCGTGCGTGCGTGAGTGTGTGCACTTCTGTGCGTGTGCACACACATGCATGCACACACACGCATGTTTGCTCATGAAAGGCAGTGGGAAGGGCTCAGAGGACAGGCACCTCATACACCTCATGGCTCCAGAATCTAAAGAGGCAGAGCTGCACACCCACCACCAGACTTTGCAACAGTAGATCCACTTGTATGAACTCAAAGACAATTTGTGCATATACACAGGGGAAATGGCTCTAGGTTTCTCAGCTACAAGTGGAGGAACAGACTGCAGCCATGGCTTTAAAAATAAAAAGGTGTGTCTCTATTAGTAGTTCTCAAAATGTGGTACCCAGACTGGACTGGCAGCATCTGCAGGACCTAGGAATTTGTCAGACATGCAAATTCTTGGACCCACCCTAGACCTACTGAATTCGAAGCCCTGAGGGTAGGGCCAACCATCTGTGTTTTCACAAGCTCTCCAGCAGAGAGATGCATGATCAAGTTTGAGGATCACTATCTATATATCTTGCATACATATTTTCACAACTAAGTATGTGTCAGTTTGCATGGAGCTAATGTTCAGTGGGGGTGGCAGATCCCCCTCTGCATGCATCATGGAAAGAGGTGGCCAAGAGGTCTCCAAAGACTTGGAGATCCCTCTGAGCAGCCTTTCCACTGAGTGTCATATGGCTTCCTATGCAAGTATAAGTACTGGTCAACTGTGATTTGGATAGTGCTGTGGGTTATATGGAGCCCACTTGTGTTGAAAGTATCTTCTGTGATTCACTGCAGGTGCAATAGGTTGCCTTGGCAAAGAAAGCCATCAAGAAGGTGTCCCAAAGGCAGATTTCAATTCATCCATCTTAAGCAATAGCCCACTCTAAGGATAGGCTTCTTCCCCCAGGTGGCCACTTCCTGGAGAAAACTACATTAAACTTCTTCCAAGGCAGGAAAGCTGTTTTAACAATTTAGTGCACAATGTTATATCACTAAGGACGACAGAAGGCACATGTGGGAACCATGGCAAAATCAGGGTGGTCTGGGCAGGGAGAGGTAAGCTTATGGCTTAAGGAACTGAACTACCCATGGCTTGAAGCACTGTAGGCATGGATCTCAAAATGCACTTGGATTCATGTTGACATACGTGTAAGGTAAAAGGGGTAGAGAGATATAGGACTAGTGTATGCATGTAATTACATATGTAGCAATAGTCATGCTAATCTCCAAACTTCTCAGCCAGGCATGAAAGGCCTGTGACCCAAACCTAACTTACAATGATTTTGGTGGCTACTGTTGTTGCCTTCTTCATGTATCCTCCCCGTAAGCCAGACTGTACAACCGGCCGTGCTTTATAGACCACACCACATCTGTTCTGCTCTCTGTCCATCACTTGCCTTGCCCTCCCCGCTCCTCACCTCATCATTTCCTGGGAACTAACTCAACACCGTGTTCTCCCTGAGGTCTGTTCTGACGCTTCCCCTGCCATGCCCTCTGGGGACTCATCCCTCCAGCTCTAGATGATCTCTCACTTTGCACCTCTAGCAGTGTCTATTGATCTATGAATTATTACAACCAGGAATGCCTCTTCTTTTATGTTCTCCTTAGCCTGTGGGTTTCCAAAAGGCCTATCCATTTCTGGTCACTGTCCCTCCAGCATCCAGCCGCTGCCAGGTGTTCAATGTGTTTGTTGCATGGATAAATAATTGCTTAGCCATATCACAGCATATGCTTAAGTTCAAGAGATTAAAAAAATAGAGCCAGGATGTGGAAAACGAAGTGGTGATTTCTCAAAAGTTAAACATAGGCTTATCATATGACCTGCCAACTCTACTCTCAGATACATACCCCAAATAATCGAAAATAGGCCTTTAAACAAGCAGTTGTGGGCTGGGGATTTAGCTCAGTGGTTCCGGTGCAAGTGCAAGGTCCAAGTTAGGTCCCCGGTACCAAAAAACAAAACCAAAACCAAGCAGTTGTACACAGATATTCGTGGCAGCACTATTCACAATCACCAAAAGTTGGAAACTACTCAAATGCCTTTCAGTGGATGAATGGATAAAAATGTGATAGATTGATTAATGCAGTGTCATTCAGCTAAAGGAAGGAAATATCAGTATATCCTCTAGCATACTTGAAATTCGAAACCATTATGCAAAATAGAAGCCAGATCCAAAAGGTGGATACGATGATAAATGATAGGATCTATTTATATAAAATGTACAGAATGACCAAATCCTATGTAGAGACAGGAGGTAGATTACTAGTTGATGAGATCTGAAGCAAAAGGGACATGAAGTGATTGCTTAATAAGCACACGGGTCCCCTTTTGGGGCAGTGAAAATGTTTAGAACAAGACAGTGGTGATGGTTGTACAACACTGTGCTTTCACGAAATGCCACTAAATTGTTTATCTTAAATTATTTGATGTTATGTGACTCTTACCTCAGTTAAAAATGTCATTGGTATAAAAGTATTTCCCTTTTCACTCTGGAGAAACTGAGCTGATCTTTTACAGGATGATGTAATATTTTATCCCAAATATCATCAAAATGATGAGACTGGCAGATGAGCTCCCTGGCTGCGACTACTGAGCTGTATTGACAGGATGGGCTTTGCATATCTTTTGCTCAGGGTGTACTACTATTGAAACTGACTCTTGCTCCATTTTCCTGGACAGTGTTCATTGGCTTGGGGGGAGGTAGATCCAGTGCACTCCTGGAACCGATTTTCCACTCACTCCGGCTTGCATTCTCAGTTCACAGGCTGAAGCCAGCTGACATCAAGGTCATTGGTGCCTTGGGAGACTCTCTCACGGTAAGTTGCTCCAGTTATGGAAAAAAGGAGCAGGGGAGGAGATTGTGTAGAGATGCGAACATGGAGGGGGGAGGGGAGAGAGGCTTTGCTCCTCACTCTCAAGAGCTGCCATATCAGGTCTAGATCTCCAGGTCCCTCCACTCCCCCCGGCCACCCCAGCATCCAGCAGTCCTTTCCTCTTGGGTCTTCCCACCTCCATGCCACCCAGCTTGTTCCTCTCCCAATGCTGGAATTGGAAGGTGGAAGGGCCCCCCTAAATCATCCAGCCCATCAGTGGTGGGACTTTGTTGGCTTGAGCTGGTGCTGTGTTTTGTTCACACAGAAAAGCTAAGGGAAGGTACCAAGGGGGAGGAGAGAGATGCTGGGACAGAAGTGAGTGCCACTGTGGGTGAGGAAGCAGGAGTCAGTGGAAGAGGTGGGGATCCCCCGAAGGTGACCAAGCTCACCTTTGCAGGTGCCCCGTGCTGAAACCACAGACTTCACAAAGAGCAATCACAAAACGAGGCCCTTAGAGAGCCTGCATGGAGCTCCCAGAGGTTCCTGGACAGTCCCATTCACTAGTCAATTACAGATCCAAGCTGCTGTCCCTGGGTCAACAGGACACAAGGCCCCGGCTGAGTCCTCCCCAAGGACTGGCTGACACCTTTTATGCCTGCAGCCTATTCACAGTGACATTCGCACATCCAGTCCCCTCGTGACAAAACCTGGTGAAGTCTCTTTCCTTATATTCCAACAAAAAGGAAGGCCCCCACCTCCCCAGCTTGGAAGTGCTACAGCCAGCAGAACTCAGAGATCTGGCCCCGAGGGTGGGTCCCATCCCTGTCCTATGGCAGCCTCCTCCATGACCTCAGCAGCCCCTCATCCCAAAGCCCTTACTGCTTGAGATCTTCCAGGAAGGGCTGGCAGGCTGGTCCCTGGTACATGCAGCTCATCCTACTCATGTCCTGTTCCCTCAATGCCCTGGTCTCCTGGAAGATGCTGTCAGGACAAGGAATCATCAAGAACCACACAGCTGCTCTGGACTTCCTGGGGAAGCAGCACCTTTGAGTGTGATGCACCTGGCAGGTGGCAAGAGAACCTGGCACCATAAAGTGGGAGTCGCAGCTGGCTAGTGGGGGAGAGTCATCAGCACACCCTTTGAAATAGCTCTGTATAGAAATAACATGCGTTAGGCAAGGGACATATGCCTGTAGAGTATGACTTGAGCCAGATGTGGTGGCGCGCACCTAAAATCCCAGCACTCCAGAGGCTGAGGCAGGAGAACTGTCAAGTTCAGGCCAGCCTGGACTACATAGTGAGAACCTGTCTCAAAAACAAAGCAAAAACCCTTTGCTCACTTCAGCTGGATGCTAGTTACACAGGACTTCGTGTTATTCCTATTTTTAAGCTGTACCAATATAATACATAATGAGATGTTTCCTTTTATAATGTACATCACAACTTTTTCATGGGGCTATGAAATAAGTTCTTTTGAAAATTCCTGCCACAGCCTGGTTTCTCGAGCCCCTCACTTGCTGGTTTCTCTTGGTCTTGGTCCTGGTCCAGGTAGGGCTCTGCGGGATGAGGCCTTTCAGGTGGAGTTGGTGTCATCTCTATGCACAGATTCTGCACTCTAGAGAGCACCCACAGGGTCCTGCCCAGGACAAGGTCATGGATCTTCTGGCAGATGCGGGGCTGGAGGGACACCAGGCAAACCCACTGCTGTTGTTACTTCTCAGGCAGGTAATGGCGCCGGATCCAAGTCCTGGAATCTCCTGGACGTCTTAACTCAGTACCGAGGCCTATCCTGGAGGTGAGATCCCTGAACCTTCTAGACAACTATACCTCCAGCAGGGAAGGGACCGGTAGTTCTTTTCCATGATCAACTTCCAGGTTCAGTTTGAGAAAGGTACTTATCAGCTTCCCCAAACCATTGTGTTCTCCAAAGCAGGAGGTGAGAGCTGAACAGGAGGAGTTTGGGGGTGAAAGTACATGAATGTTTGGGTTGGAAGTGCTTCTCTCCTTTCCATTTCACCCTCTGTAATCTCACAAGGAGCCAGAGGCCCAATGAACTTATTGTGGCCTGCGGAACCAGAGTTGTTTCTGAGCCCCAGCTGCCTGCTCTGTGTGACCCTAGGCAAGTTACTTTGTTTCTCTGAGCTTGTCTCCTCATCTCGGATGCAGAGAAAATAATACTGCCCAAGAACTGATGGGGGATGAGAGAGAGTTTAAGTGCCTACCCCAGTGGCCAACACAAAGCAGATCTAAGTGGTAGCTGCCACCATGATTGAAGGGCATTCATTTTACAGAGGAAGAAGACTGAGGGGGCAAGTAACCTGTCCAAGGTCACACAGCCTGGTGTTAAAAGAGCAGGAAGCAGAGCAGATGGTTCCTGACCCCAATCCAGCGAACTGTCCTATCATGCATGTATTGCTTCATGCAGGCCAATTCCTGCTCCGGTTATGACCCAGCTGCTGCTCCAAGCTGCAGGGGTCAGGGCTCAGTAGTGTGTTGAAAGGCTGACTCGGGGACCTTTGATGTTTCCTCAGCCTGCTGTGTGGTGTCTCCATCTCACAGAACTTTAGCCTGAGTGAGAGTAGAATCCTGGTATCTCCTCGCATGTCGCAGCACAGAGTTAAACCCTGAACATTTTAGGTCAGTGGTGGTGAACCTGTGCCACGCATGCCGGCAACCAGCTGTTGGTTATTCGTGAAAGCTCTAAAAGGTTCGCCATCGCTGTTTTAGGTGTTCCCAGTCAGGGTGGCACAGAGTAAAGGGATATGGACAAGCAGGCTCCTGCCAGCTCCAGCTGAATATTTTCACTCCTAGAAACCCATTTACCATTGGTTTCTCTGGAGTGTTAGCATTGGCTGGGGGACAGGTAACCCTCTAGAAGATGCCCTTTTGAAAATGGCTTTTCCTAGCCAAACAGGAAGAGAAAGAGCAGGCCAAAAAGAATTTTTTTAAAAAACTGTTTTCACTACTTACTAGTAATAATGTACAGCTGTAGTGGCTAATTGGGAGGGGGCTGGTCAAAGGGCTTTGGAAGGCAGAGTGCAGGGACTTAGTTCCCCCTGCCCCAAGAGCATAGTTCAGAGGAAAAGAAAAGCAAAACCTCCATGACAGTTTAAACCCTTTTTTGTTGTTGTTTTTGCTTTTGTTAGAAGGTTCCAGTGTACAGGTAGAGGGGAAAGGGGTTGTATTTTGGTTTGCTTTTCAGTTTTTGTACCAAAATGATCCTGAAAGGGCGAGCCCTGGGCTGTCGGTAGAGATTGGTCTTGATCGTGTCTGAGGTGCTCTGCCATGGCTGACTTTCTAAAGCTTCGTTTTCTTTCTTGGTTCCCCCAAACAGCTGCGGCGGCGATCAGAACATCAGCACGGTGACCACGCTGGCCAGTGAGTACGCGCAGGGGCGCCTGGGTGCGCGCGCACGCTAGCGCAGGCTGCAGGACACAGCTGCGTGCAGTAAGAGGCGCTGCTTCCCTGAGGCTGCACCCGGCTCTGCCCCCTGAGCCGATTAAAGCCTTAGATGTGGGGTGGGGGGCAGTGGTTTTGGTGTTGGTGTTGTTGTTAAGAGAAATTGTCCTTGTCCAACGAAGGAAGACGGGGAAAGGGCTCAGATGGAATCTTAGTGCAAGTCACTAAAAAAGATTCACGACAAAAGAAAAGGATTTTGCCTGTCATTCTGAGCAGAGCACACAACTGCGAGGCTTCTATAAACCTGGGCTACTTAGACGTCACTGCGCACGACGTTGTGTTCAGTGCATCACGGCTGCAAGCCATGAAGTTACCTTGTTCAGGTTTATCAAAAGTAGCCACATTTGGGGGGTCCACAACATTTTCCTTAATCAGATCAGCAAGAACCTCTTGGGATTTTTTTTTTTTTTTTTTAAACCCGTCTACATTCTCTGAAGTGTCTGGTCTTATTAAACTTTTTTCCCCATTACTGGGGATTGAACCCAAGGGACACTGAGCTACATCCCTAGCTATTTTTGTTATTTTATTTGAGACAGGGACTTGAAATATTACTCAGGCTGGCCTTCCTCATGAGGCCTATCAAATAGCTGGGATTACAGGTACGTACCACCATCCCCGGCTCTTTGTCTCTTTATTCTCTTCAGTACACATACATCTCAGTGCTTATTCTTAACATACAACTGCAATAAATGTTCATGTTGAACTCTTTCCCCCTAAAATCTCTGGCTAGTCGTTTTCCGTGAGAGGAATTTAGTTGGTCTCATTCTCATTAACTTCTCTGGTATATATGGATCCCTTTCTTGCATATCTTTCGGCGCTAAGAAATTATTTGAATTTTAAGTCACGAAGACTTTGATGATAGGGAAGCTTAATCTCCACATAGGCAGAACTGATTCAACTGAACATTTTCTGATGTTTTGGTTATTGGCAAATGGTGTTGTATTTAAATTGGTACAGTTCTATGCCACAAGTACTCCCTGTCCTTTTTATTTCTAGTTCTACACACAAGGGCTATAAATAAGCTCCTCTGTTGCTGAGAAATAGTTTGGGATGCTTTTATGTGTGTGATGAACTTGGGTTTGAGATGGCCTAGCATATGGGCCTTCTCGTTTCTAGGCCATTACTGTAGACAAGATGTTTGGAAATCATCTGGCTGAAGACCTTCCACCATAGTGATTTACAAATGATTGAAACAGTGTCACCCTCAGGTGGAGCCCCTGACACACTTAGCCCTGGAGAGGGGTGACTGTTCAGACTCTTTTTTAGAGATGTGCAAACCATTTGATTGGATGGGCCAAATATACAGGGGGAGATAACTATGTGAAAATGTGTTCGAGATTTATGAGGATGTACAGCTCATAACAGACTCTCTGCCCAACACCCTGTTCAATCTAATCCAGTGTTGGCTGCTTGGAAAAGAAAACAATGCCCTGATGACATCATTTAAGTCTCTTTGGGGGCATGGTTCACTAAACACAGACCTGAGAAATGGTAATTGTAGCCATGCGTAAGGCTTAGGGAAGTTAAGGAAGGAGACTAGGAACACTGTCTTCTGGAAAGAAGCTCCAAGCACTGGATTCCATCAGGTAGGGAAAGGGGATGGAATGTTCTTGACAGAGATCACCACATGTACCAGCAAGTTCTCGCCCTCTCCAGTGTAGAGTTCGTTTCTATGACATTCCTGCCAAACAGCTGGCTTGCCAGTGCTGATTCCTCCAGTAATGGGGAATCTATGACCTCCCAGGACAAACCGTTCCATTTTCAGATAGCCCTGATTCTGCAATTCTTTTGAAAACATCAGATAAATGTTTAATCCCTTAGTGCTGCTCACAGGAATGAGTCCAGCCCACCTGTGCTAAGCACTAGTGCTTGGTCCCAGAGAGCATTCTGCTTGATGGGATGAGGCCCCACAGTCCTGGCTGCCACCCAGCCTGTCCCTTCCCCACCCCGGTAGACTGTGGGACAGGGGAAAGTGCCCTGTGTTGGAGCTGGGGCATCAGGGTTCTAACCTACAGTTCCATTCTCAGTGGCTCTCTGACGCTGAACAATTTTCCTAGCCTGTCTAAACTTCATTTTATTCCTACTATTCCAATTATTCCTAATTCAGTTCACAAATGTTTTTTGAGGGGTATGTGAGGCCCTTGGGTTTATACAGATCAGCTAAGTTGTAGAAATGAATAAATGAAAAGTCAAGTACAGATCCAGTGTGGTAAAGGCTGATAAATGAAACGACTTAGATGAAATGGGCAAAATGGATCCTAAAAAGATACGAACCACTGAAATGCAATCAATAAGAAACAGCTGGGAATGATGGGACATGCCTGTAATCCCAGCTACTTGGTAGGCTGAGGCAGGATCATGAGTTCAAGCCCAGTGTGAGAAACTTAGGAAGATCCTGTATCAAAATTTCAAAAGTTAAAAGAGCTGGAGATTTAGCTCAATGTTCCTCTGGTTTCAATCCCCAGTAACATGGAAGGACTGGAATAGATATATAATGATAAAGAGTTTAAATTAGTAATTTTAGAACTTCCTAGCCTCCCCTAGCCAAGCTTTTCTACCAAACATGAGTACCAATTACCAGTCCTTCACAAACTCCCCAAATAAGAAGGAATACTTCCCAACTCATTCTGAGTTTTACCCTGATACTAAAAGAAAACTACAGTTTAATCTCTTGTGAATATAGACACAAAAATCCTCAAAGAAATACTATCAAACTAAATCCAGTAATATATAAAAAGATCGTACCCCATTACCAAGTGGGACTTAGACCAGGAATACAAAGTTTAAAAATATGAAAGTCAACTAATGTTATATACTATGTAAGTAGGATAAAGGACAAAAACCACACAATCATTTCAATGGACCGGAAAAGGCAGTTAATAAAATCTAATACGGCTTCAAGGTGAAAACACACAATAGAGTAGGAACAGAAAAAAAAAAGTCCTCAGTCTGGTAAGAAGCATTGGCTACAAGCCCACAGCTAACTTATTTGCTGGTGGAAGGTGGATAACTGCCCCTCCTCTGAGATGTGGAAAGACGAGGCTGGGTGCTCTTCCCACTGCTATTCAGCAGGACCCTGGAGGGTCTAGTCATGGCAGTTAGGCAAGAACATTGGAAGAAAAAGCAACAGAAGAATAAAGCTACCTCCACTTGAAGAGATTTTATATA